TATCACAGGCATGATAAGAACTGAAAGGGAATTTTGGAGTAGTGGCCCCTTAAAATTTAATAATCAGATAACATACTGTGGCACTCAGCAACCTACCCCCGAAATGAGACAAGATGACAGTGTGCCCTGCCGATCTGACAAATTGGTTCTACTGTCTACTGAGTGAGGTTTGTGCTAGATAACAATCTGAGTTCAAATATCTATCCTTCTTAATGAATAGGTTCAAATATCTGCTGGCCATTTTTCTTTCACTCAACAGAATAATGGGGCCAAGTAAGAAAACTCTGCCTCTGGCATCTCTCTCAAAATAAACGAAAAGATCTTGTCAGTCACTACTCTCCCATGTTAAGTTCCCTAAGGCAGGACATATGTTAAAAAACAAGACGCACACCAGACACGCCAGAAGACTTGTTAATCAACATAGAACTGGTACTATTAGCCATCAGAGGTTGGGGTTCATACTGAGGGGAGGATCTGAGCACCTATGGACAGATCCGGAGTGCACTGATGATAAATCAACTAACTAACAAACAAACTAACTAACTATGTTGTAGGTGTCTTGGACATCACCAGATCTGGTATTCCCTGACATGCAAACTCATGAGAATGAAAATTTGACATGCTGGGGAATCGAAACTAACTCTCGATGCCATCAAAGGATCAGATCTGCAAACTGTGTCCTGCTGGTCTCTGGAGACACAGTAGGTTCAATGTATGGAGGCTAGGCAACCATGAGCAAGGATGTGCCAATTCCTTGGGTAAGCCCAATAATGAGCATTATGTGTCAGCTCTACATTTGCTGAAGCCACCGTGGATGGTGGCATATGCCCATGTCCTTTCAGGGCAGGTCTATTCAACTGGTGGCCTGCAAGGTGAATCCAGGCCGCAGAGGCATTACCTACGGATCACTGCAAACTGTACTGCATCTGACTCCTGCGTAAACTTTATTGAATAGCCCCGTTCGAGGGCATGCATACATCTTTTCCTTCAGATGGGCCTGCTAGTTGAATTATGACAATAACATGAAGTTAAACAAGACAATCAAACATGCAACATCTTGACATGACCGCAACAGAAAACAGATCATATAACAAACAATAATGTAATCATTCATGATAAACAATTTAGACAAGACAAATGATGAAAACATAATACTAATTTAAAATAATTTTTTTCTTAACAAAACAACTTCAAACAATCGTTCTTTTATCTCGATAAAGAAACAGATGAAACAATTATTTTGACCAAAACAACACAATCAATTTTAAGTAGACAAAACAATAAAACACAAGTAATGCAAACTAAACAAAGCAAATCAGACTACACAAACAAGCATACAGTTTCAATAAGACAAAATTTAAAGACTGGCTTTAAATTAAGCAAAAATAATTTATGTAAATGATTACAATAATAAAGGTAAAGCCACACAACCATGCTGCTAGTATCCACTACAGCTGACTTGTATATTTCTATCATTTGTAGGCCAAACAAAAAAATATCAACTTAAAAATGTGCCTGCAACATTTGGTCAAACATTCAACTAAAACTGCCATGGTAAGGACATACATACTAAAGGATTTTACATGCCTTATACAACATTCCACAGGCCTGATGTTTCCCACTCATGATCTACAGATTGTAACTTCAATCACATCATCTTGACTACAACAAACGCAACAACAAATCTAAAATTGCTTGTATTGTACAGTGCTGTAACTACAAAGAAAATTGTGAAATTTTACAGTGTAATTCAGCTTGGAAGCAGCTTACAGCATTTCTTCACAGCTGTTACAATTTCAAGGAATAAGAAATGGAAGGGACAGAATCCTTTTCCAGTTACCTGATAGTGCTGTCATTGAACAAGAATACTGTTATCATAATATAAAGAGTTCTAAGAAAAAGGTGATGCTTCGTATAATGGATTGATACCCTGTAATCTGTTCTTCTTCTGAGTGGAGTACATTTCTTCTTCTTCTTCTTGTTCACCGGCTGTGAATTCCGGCGGTAAGTCGCGGTTGTTCGTCCAAATGGACTTTTGGCTTTTACCTTGACCTGAGTTTTGCGTGTACATCCGTTTTACTGGCTTATTTGTTTGCAGTTCTCGTTCCCCGCCTCTCCGGCAGATGTACTCCGACTTCGAGGGAGAGTGGAGTACATGATAGCTTCTGTGTTTCTATCAGTGTTCATCTGTATAAAGTTTACTCCCTCAAACATAGTCCATCTATGTTAATGTGCTTTATCTACCAATGGTTAGGTCATTTTTCCTTTGTAACAAAATTCATCATCATTGCCCTACTAGTACATAGGGCTCTCAGTCTGTTCCTCAATTCCGTTCCATCCTGTGCCATTCCATGAATGGAATTCCAGCACAGCACCTTTGCCCTCTCTCACCAGCGTTCATTTTAAGGTTTCTTGTGGACCTTCTCTACCTCAACCCCTTTATTTCGCATTTTAGTGCCTGTTTAGTGATTCTCTGGTCATTTCCTCCTAGAATGTGTCCAAAATAGCACCATCTTCTTTTCTTTGAATTGTTGTGACCAGCATTTCTCTCTTTTCTCTACACCCCTCTTCACTTCATCCCACTTTATCCTGCTCAGTATTTCTCTTATTTCTTCAACCCTCTTCACTTCATCCCACTTTATCCTGCTCAGTATTTCTCTTATTTCTTCAACCCTCTTCCCTTCATTCCACTTTATCCTGCTCAGTATTTCTCTTATTTCTTCAACCCTCTTCCCTTCATCCCACTATATCCTGCCCAGTATTTCTCTTATTTCTTCACCCCTCTTCCCTTCATCCCACTTTATCCTGCTCAGTATTTCTCTTATTTCTTCAATCCTCTTCACTTCATCCCACTTTATCCTGCCCAGTATTTCTCTTAATTTTTCACCACTTTTCAATTCATCCCACTTTATCTTCAACAATTTCCTCACGCATTAACAAAATTGCCAATGGAAAAAAAACGAACACTGTGGAAAGTAGGTCAGCGTCCTAAAGAATACTAACTACCAAGGGTGACAAAATTAATGTGCAGCTAGCGAGCCTGTTCTCATGTTCTCCGCTCAAAGGAGGACAGAAGGGGACATTACAGGGTAGACATTCATTATGACATATGTAATGATTGTGATGAATGAAAACCATGCTCTAACTACCATTTCAGAGACAATCCATTACATGGTGCTTAGAAGCATGGGAGGACAATCATCACTATCAAGTGTCTTGCCAACTGGCATAGGTAATCGTGCCTCTCCACAACCTGCCATCTCCAACAACATGTATTGGTTCATGTGCTCACACTCCTTCATACCATGACAAAAGGCGATCAAGGATCTTCTCGCTTTGTATTCCCCGTCTCTTTCCATAAAACCTTCCGGTGGTGACACTATGTTCCAGTTTCCCTCTTCTCATGCAAATCGCTCAAAAGAGGGAAGTGAAGAAAAACAAATATTACAGGGTATGAATCCATTATGAAATAGATAAGAAGACAGCTATGTGAAAACAATACATATGAAAACAATACATGTGAAAACCAAGAAATTGTTTACATGATAAAACGCAAGACTTCATTTCTCCAATACATGATCCCACAACATGCAATTTTCATGGGAGTAACAGTTGCCCTCATTTTACAATTGATGACATGAGAATACACACTGATTAGAGCTGCTGAAACATGGTACCATTCAACAAGTGTAATATCATATAACTTCCCATCTATCTTTATATAACATCCTAAATTCACACAGTGTGATAATTAAATAATGAGACTGATTTTATTATGGCCAAAACAAAAAATGGCATCCATGAAGCAAAACGTCATCCAAGCGGGCATCATTCATACTATGATCTGGCAAAACTGTAAAGCTGCCAGGTCAGCAGATGACAAGTAACCGCCATTTTGTTTAGCTAGTAAAAGTTGTGTTATTACGTGTGCAGCATGGAGCCAAGGGTGAACATTAACTCGTGTTTCAATTTGAAAAAGTGATCTTGAGACTGTTGAATTCATGAGATGTGTTTATAAGTATCAATGTTTATTAAATCCAATATCATATTCATCAACCTCACAGTCAGACATTCAGTTCTCTGACTTTGGCAATTAATTTAACTTCATGACCAGAAATTAGATGTCCCAGCCCCAGTTTCATCTCCAACCTTTCACATCTTTTTTTGAATTGTGAATACTACCTAATGCACAACGTTAAACATTATTGTGATATTCTCAACAATTCAACTGTCTAAAGAGCACTTCTGCGAGTCTGAAATAGAATCAATGTTAACCCTTGGTTCCAGGCTGCATACTTGTGAGAATGTGTATAATACCCTATCTTTAAATAACACCCTACATTCATACACTACCTCCAGGAGACAGCTGAACCTAATATTTTAGTACAGACTGAGCATTAAAACGTACACCGACTGTAACATAGCAACAGATACTGAATAGTTGGAGAAAACATGAAAACAATGGAAGACCAGACAGGCTATCTTTTCCATTATTGTTAACAACTACTCAGCAATGATTTTTTCAAAGAAGTTTCACAAAACTGAGGCAATGACTTTAAATAATGGTGCAATACATAACTTGCTATAGATGTAGAAAATGTGATTCTTATTCAATGAACACTATTGTGTTAACATCATCTCTACTGAGTGGACCCATATAATCAGCCAAGATTCCCCTGTCACTGTACACAAAAACTGGCCTGGTCTCACACAGTGTATTCACTGCTGTAAATATCTACACATCTAGAAAGTTCATGAGGTTATGGAAAGGATGCTTCTGATTTTACATTACTATTAAATCTGAACAATTTTTCTTTTTTTTAATAATAATTTTTTTAAAAATAGAGAGAGAGAGAGAGAAGAAATGCAAACACATTTGATGGTATTACAAGACGTCCTTTCATTCACAGTGTTGTATTCCAAAGTTTCTGTTTGTTCTGATTTCCAACACACAACAGGTAGATAAATGCCTCCTTCAAAGGCCGAGGAAGTTCTATGCCTTACTGTTTTAGATTGCCGAACTTAGAGAACGCTGTGTCTGTTCGCTGCTGAAAGGATGCATTTCCGGACATGTTTGCTGTCATAGCCATCTGCATTCCCATGGCTGCTTGCGGCATGCCTCCCATCATACTAGGCTGTCCCATGCCCATGCCTGCGGAGAACAAACAGAACACATGAAACAACAGCCTGCGGATAGCAAACAGAACACATGAAACAACAGCCTGCGGATAGCAAACAGAACTCATGAAACAACAGCCTGCGGATAGCAAACAGAACACATGAAACAACAGCCTGCGACAACAAACAGAACACATAAAACAACAGCCTGCGACAGCAAACAGAACACATGAAACAACAGCCTGCGATAGCAAACAGAACACATGAAACAACAGGATTTTTTAACACTGGTTCCACAAAGCTGAAGGCTGCATTTGTGCATTCATACAGGGGTGGGGACGACAAACTGTGGTGGTGCAACAGCGAACGGCTTGTCTATCTACCTGAAGGTTCTAGGTTCAAATCTGCACCAGTGTATTATAACTGAACATGGCTCCTTAGTTAACCTAGCCTAAAATGTGCACTAGGATGTTTGTTAATAAGTAAAGCCAGCCAGCATGGTGACCACATACCCAGTGAATGCAACTGGTCTATAACAATATGAGTTGACTGAACCCTTTTGACATGAGAAGCCACAAAACCAACACTTCTCCAAGACATGCAGGCCAGTTGATTCTACGCTGTATTCTTTTTTTACTGACTACTCACTCTCTATAGTCTCTATACTCTATAGTCTCTATACTCTATAGTCTCTATACTCTATAGCCTCTATACTCTATAGTCTCTATACTCTATAGTCTCTATACTCTATAGTCTCTATACTCTATAGTCTCTATACTCTATTGTCTCTATACTCTCTATAGTCTCTATACTCTATAGTCTCTATAGTCTCTTTACTCTATTGTCTCTATACTCTATAGTCTCTATACTCTCTATAGTATCTATACTCTCTATATTATCCTTCATGTTTTGGATAAATTGATGTTATGCAATTTTTTTTCATGTTTTTTTTTTAAACATTTAAAATGGTTGTTTTGCTGAGAAATTTCCCCCAGAAAAGTTGTATATGCCTAATGTTCTGATGGCATGGAAAAGGTCCTTACCTTACTGCTTTACAGGGGTGGGGAATGGACAGGCACTGGAAATATGGTCTGGCCTTACCAAGAAAATAACTGGTAGGACTCAATAAATCTATGAGCTTTTTTCACAGCAACATAAATTTACATAAAGTCATTATTTTTCTTCTTTTTTTTTTTTTTAAGCTTTCACCAGCTGTAAACTCCTGGGCTTTGGTCCTATTCCAGACCTTGTGTTTAGCATTCACTTCTAGTTTACAGATCTGGCTTATCTGTATGCAGACTGTTGGTTCCTCACCTCTCCGCTGGCAGATGTACTTCAACTTTGAAGGAAACACCCCAAATTAGTCACTTTTTATGAATTACCTGTTAGGGTCAGTGGGTCTATTCATTTTCCTCCCAAAATAGGGCCCCGGGACCCACACATGGATACAGTCATTCAACAAGGAGTGGCAGTTACAGCCAGTTAAGGAGTGAGTTAATTAAATGTCTGACCACATACAGCTGGCTAATTTTATAGATGACAATTTTTGTTTGGCAAATGATATAAATATCCCAATGGACCCTGGCCCTTCTGTATTAACACCTTCTTCTTGTTCAATGACTTTCTCAAATGTGGCCATCAAAAAGAAGAAGAAAGATGTTTTATACTGACAAAATGTGCTGGCAAAAACAAATCAGCTCAAGTGTATACAGCACACAAGAGAAAAAACAGTGCTAGAAAGAATTACAATAAATCAATCAGAAAGTGTCTTAATCTCACCCTGCCAAACCTGAAAGAAAAAAACAATAAATTAAATGTAACATTCAAATTAAATCAATATTGGACATACTTCCTTTGAATCCCTTTTCTAAGGAATCCATTGTGTAAGAAAAGTTATGAGTAAAAGGATAACTTCAAATGCACTGTAATGTGAATTAGGTTATTTTCAGAAGGCAAAATAAGATAGAAACAGCATGCACACAAACTAACCAACAGAAAAACATGGACATGTTCTGTGTCTCATCATCTATCAAAACTAGTTTTGCTTAGTTAACATCTCAATCAGTTTACAGAATCCATTCTCTACCAAGACATTGTAAAACTGTACCAAGACAAGTATCACATTTAAAAACTGTACCAAGACAAACATCACAATTAAAAACTGTACCAAGACAAGTATCACAATTAAAAACTGTACCAAGACAAGTATCACATTTAAAAACTGTACCAAGACAAACATCACATTTAAAAACTGTACCAAGACAAATATCACAATTAAAAACTGTACCAAGATAAGTATCACATTAAAAACTGTACCAAGACAAACATCACATTTAAAAACTGTACCAAGACAAATATCACAATTAAAAACTCTACCAAGACAAATATCACAATTAAAAACTGTACCAAGACAAATATCACATTTAAAAATGTTGAATGTTGAATTAAGAATCGACATCACAGCACTTGGGATACTGCCATAAGCGCTCTGTCCCCCATCTTCAGCAGCAAGCAAAGAGTTAAAATTCTGATGGTACCAGTAACAGTCTGATTGTATATCTGTCTCGCCTTTACCCCGAGTGTCGAGCGTCAGCAAGATCCCCTTGTAACTCCTTGCAGTGCCATTCTCCTCAGACCATAATGATCTATTTGTTCCCCGGCACTGTTTACTCGCTCCCAAAGGGCCCTCACAACATCCAGCCTGTTATACTTCAGTTCACCACCAAGTGGTGCAGAACCGGCCAGTCTATCCGCCTGCTCATTTCCCAACACACCGGCGTAACCTGGAGAAAATATACAAAGGATGCTAAATCCCTGGGACCTCTAAAGTGATGCTTGCCACTCTGCACGGAGCATGCCTGTCTCCACCTTTCTCAACATGCTCTGTGAGTCAGTTACAATGATGACATGTGTGTACAGCTGATTCTCGAGCCAACGGAAGGCAACAGTGACTGCCCCTACCTCCATTCTTCTTCTTCTTCTTCTTCGCGTTCACCAGCTGTAAACTCTGGCGGAAGGTTCTGGTTGCTCGTCCACTACTGAACTGCAGTCCTGCTCCAGAACCTGAGTGTTGCGTGTGCATCAGTTTTACAGATCTCATTCTCTTGAATACAGACTGTTGGTTCCTTGCCTCTCCGGCAAATGCACTCCGACTTCAAAGGAAGCTCCCCAATTAGTCGACTCTTACGACATGCTTTTGGGGAGGCAGTGGGTCTATTCTTGTTTTCCCCACAATGGGGCCCCGGAACCCACACGGGGGACCTCCATTCTCAAACTAGACGTTGTGATATCATATGCCAGGCTTTGTTGCACCGAGCAACGTCCATTCACCTTCGCTATGAACCCCCATGCACTTCGTCTGCCCCTCACCACAGAGCCATCTGTATATACAATCACATCACTTGGGCGGGAATTGTAAAAGATTGTATCAAGCACAGTGCATGCACTCTGTAGCTCCGGCTTTTAGAAATCTCCCAAGACAAATATCACATTTAAAAACTGTACCAAGACAAGTATCACATTTAAAAACTGTACCAAGACAAGTATCACATTTTAAAACTGTCTTCTGTGAGAAAAATTAACTCTTTCGGTCCCAGGTAATTGTTGCTAGAACACTTTCAATCCCAAAGTCAGTGATTATTAGAGCACCAATCTATGAGTCTTCGTAAATTAAAACTTCACAATTATGAGACAAAACTAGCTTAAAAGTTACAACTGGGAAATAATGGGTTAGTGCATAAGAAGAAGGGGATACAAGAATTTAAAACGTATAAGATGTTTGGAATAATCAATGAATTTCAATTAGCTGTCCTCGTATTGAAAGAGTTAAGTCCCATATGAATTACCCATCATAGGTCGTGCTCCAGCCATCATTGGTACACCTGCTGCCATAACGGGACCTGTTCCAGGACTCTGGAGTGACATGCCGGCCATTCCTTGATTGACACCAACCATACCTGGAGACATCATTCCCATACCTGAAAGATATGACAACAGACAATCAAACAGGTGCAACCAAAACCAAAAACAAAGCATAAACAATGCAATCTCTATAGAAATATGGCATCATGACAAGACCATTAAAGCCTCGCAGCCATTTCATTAATGAATGTATATATGTAAGGTAGTTGCACAGTTGAGAAAGCCTAGTGGCTATTTCTTGCATGCTTGCGTTGATGTCCGTTTTTTGTGTGTGTTTTTTTTTGGGGGGGGGGGGGGGAGCCAAAGAAGAAGAATAAACCAACAGAGAACTGGTGACCTCAGCTGCCACACACTGTCTGTGGGATTTGCTGAAGAGGGATTTCAAGCACTTATGGACTGAATTGTTTGATGTGCACTGTTGATGGTCTGTCAACTAACACGTGCACAGACAGACAGAGACAAAGAAATCCATGAAACCAGTGGCATTCTACTATATATGTGTATATATGTATGTATATATATAGTGTGTGTGTGATGGTACACCAACACTAGTAATCTAAGTCACTGACATGAAAATAAGGAGATATATATGTGTGTGTGTGTGTGTGTGTGTGTGTGTGCATATATATATATATATATATATATATATATATATATATATATATATATATATATATATATATATATATATATATATATATATATATATATTCTCTAGAATAAAAGTTAGCCGACAATATCTTTAGTAAATAAGCATCAGGTTAGTACATTAAATGTACTGTAGATGTCCACAATTCAGTCACCCGGACATCACACTGACATTAATGAGCTAGAGTTTCAAGGATTCCATCTGTATCCATTATCCTAATAAATAAAAGATTCAAACGTGAGAGGAGAGGGTCAGCGTCGCTGCATAAGGTTTTAGCCCATATGGCTTAGCTTTCCTAAACGGTGGCCAGCACTCCAGTGAAAATCTCCACGGAGGTTAGGCAAAGCTACAACTTTGAAGCAGCGACCAATGCAGTCCAAACATAAACCCAAGACTTTCAGGCAATGAGGCTAATGGCTTGATACCTCTGGGGCAAGGGATCAACACAAAATACAGACGAGAAAGGAAAAGGTGCAAATAGGTGGGGGGGGGGGGGAAATGGGGGGGGGGGGGGGGGGGGGGGGGGGGGGGGGGGGGAAGGGGAAATGGGGGGGGGAATCAAAAATGGATACATTTAAAAAAATAAAAAATGTACAAATAACTACTTGTGTTCCTTTTCTGACTTACACTGTTAGGCAAGTTATAAAAGTAACTCGATTCAACACAAAATACAGAGAGAAAGGAAAAGGTGCAAATAAATACAAGTAAACATTCTGATCAGTCTTGATCAACAGACAAAACAGCATCAATAAAGAACCAAGAAGGTGGCACAGAAATGGAAATGAAAGGTCAGGCAGGAAAGCTATTATGAAACAAACCATTAAAGAAGGAACAGGAAATGGAAGGGGAAACAAAAATAAAAAGGAAATTTCAAAAAATAAAAATAGTGAAGAAAAAATTAGATGAACATGGAACCCCACAGGGTCAACAACACTCAAACTATGAATGAGCATTGCAAGCAAGCAAACTCACCAACATCTCAGTTGTAATAACAACTGATGGTATGAAATTCTAGTGCTGAAATATTAACAAGTTATTTTTCAGAAATACATGAAGACATAAGCCAGGACGCTCACAGAGAATTATAACCAGCAGGGCAGAACACTAATGCTAATGCATGAGCACAAACACAGGATGCAATATTCACCAATTTCAACAAGTTAAAAACTTATTTACAAATCTAAAGCACTTTCTGAAAACTCTCATAAAATAACTCAGATCATGCAGTCTCTTCAAACGAATTGAATGCAGGAAAACACTTTCAATAAAACATTACAAAGCACTGAAAACAACAGTATAGAAAAGCACAAAAGAACCAACCACACAAATCTATGCTTTAAGTGTTTGCTGTATTGCATTGCGGTCTGATGTATTTGTATGTGTTGTTTTTATTATTCTGCCTATGCCTGATTACTTTTTACAAATCTCTGTAACATAGGGTTTGAAATGAATTATCATATTTCCCCAAGTATAAGATGCTCCCATGTGTAAGACACACCTCGATTTTGGGACCACAAATTTGGGAACAGAACAGAGTAATAATAGACTACCACTGTATAAAACACACAGTGTTTTTAGACCCTATATTTTTGGGTATTAGTGCATCTTAAATTTGGGAAAATATGGTATGTCTGTACTCCACAGCTGTGGGTTCCAGCCATATGACAGACCTGGCTAATAAAGACACCTTTTCTTTTAGGGATGTGGAGTTGGTGATGTGTCGTAGTACCCCTGTTCCTGCAGTGAGGGGCTGTAGTTATTTAGAGGGGACAGGTTCGATTCTCAGTATAGTACATACAGCTTTTTTTGTGTGTGTCTAGTGTGTCCTACTATCTGTCTACTTCTTTCTATAAGTGCCATTCAGTGTGTTTCTTTCTATCTGTTAATTTTTTTTTACTGACTTTGAGTACCATGCCAGATCAATTTCTATTTTCTCAGAATATTAAGTTCTGCAACCCAGTGGATATCATCTGGTGGCAGTATCATCCAGGTGTGGGATTAGCTTAGACAGGAGACTTGCAGACAGTCCTTGAGCACAGCAGGTAACAAACAATGGTGAAGGTGCTCACTGCCTAGACCACTGTTTGAGGACCACAACATGAACATAATGGCTCTGTCTTTTATATATCTTCTTCTTCTTCTTCTTTTGTTTGCTTGAAATAGTTTATTTATTTTTGCATTGTTGTCTCTAGTAAATATATATCTGGATATAAACATGAAGAAGAAGACAAACCTAATTGGGATTGTTTACTAGGAAAGAATTATAACAGCAAATTTAAAAAACAACAACAACAAAACAATTACAAAGAATTATAACTACAAACAGCAATACATGTAATAAAAATAATGACTATGGCCATTTGAGCATAATCTGATCCATCAGGTGAGAACAACAGGCACACGTTTAAAACGCAGTCACTTGCTGCAGTCACTTGCTGCAGTCCTGTCTCATCTTAAAGAAGCGGAAACTGCAACAGAGATTGTCACTCTCCAATCTGAATATTTAGTTACCAGGGGGCCCTGTCAGGTGGCTGCCATACAGCACAACTCTATGGCCATGCAGGACTGAAGGGAGGCCTATTACTACTTACTGATCATGGCTATGATCATTAACAACAAAGACATGCATAACATTTGGCAGGAGACAGAAAAATACTCAATAATCATGCAAAAACTTCAATTTATACCCACAAAAAACTGTTGTGGTGGAAAAGACCAACTATCAATATATTTTAATTTAGAAATAAAATGTCTTTGTATCAACTTAATGCATTTTATTGGGTTTACAATCCTTCATGAAACCGTTCATCCAACAGACGGTTACTAACATCATTCTATCTCTTTACCGCACTGGCAGTTTCTTACGCATTTAGCAAGACTTCCTGTATTTAGCAAGACCTGTTCTGCTTTTGCACTGCTTTCTCTAAAGATTTTATTACTGCTGCTTAAAGCCTGAAAATGAACTTTTAACTTGAACTTAGCTTGAAGACAGCAGCATATACCATATATAATTTTTCTGCATTACTCACAAAAGGCATAGCTGGTACACCATGTTGTGGTTTACAGCTAGGCTGAGAGATCTGCATTTTCAGCCCAACACATCCAATTTCAGCAAATCCTTAATTAGTCACCAATTCAGACTTGCTTGTTGAGGGGCAGTGGGTTTAGTTAATTATCCCCTCTCTCCCCCCCCCCTCCCCCCCCCCTCCCCCCACCCTCCACCCCTTTGGGACACTGGAACCCATGTGGAGATCAGAGTATACAACAGGGAAACGTTCAGTCAGAGAAAAACACTGAGATAGAAAAACACATGCAGAAATTATAACACAAATACAAAAACTTCAGGCACATCATCATCAGGTTATGGTATGCAATTCTGTCACCTCAGCATCACTGCTGGTGACACAATACGAAATCATTAAATCAGACGAATGCTAGGAATAAAGCCAGTCTTACGACTTCTCATCAAAGAACAACAAATAAAGTGGTTTGGACATCTAACAAGAATGCCCTGGTACTATCTGCCACAGCAAGCCATACTAAACTTTACAACGGGTACAGAGCAAGTGGAAGACCTCAGAAAATATGAAGCAATGGCATAAAGAACAGCTTTACAGAAATGAACATCAGTCTTAATAGTTCTCTTGACAGAGCTCATCAACGAATGTTACATCTCCCCCTGACACTTCAATGAGGTATAAGCGGGAAGAGAAAAAAAAGAGGAAGAAGCATCGCTGCACATTGGGCATTGCCATCCATGCTTAGTTATTTGACTCAGAACATGACAAAATATACTTGAGAACCTTAACCTTAAATGAAAACAAGACGTGACTGCTGCATGAACAACCCTTTTCTTCAGCTCATTCAAGAAACATCTTTTAAGAAAAGACCAATTACGAGCGACTTGACCCCAGAGACTAGAATAAGAATATTGTGTGTCAAAATGGATGAAACAACAACATGAACACACAGCTTAATACAGGAGGTCTCTGTGGTGAAGTGGCTGAGCAATTTGCCCTGTGCTCTGAAGGTCATGGGTTGATTTCACAGACACATCATGTAGGTCTCTTCTTCTACCTCCATGGCTTTTTTTGGTCTGCCTTTATTTCTACCCTCCTGTGGGCTCCAGACATTCTAGTTATATTGACATTCAGTTAAAGAGTGAAACTTTTACAGATTAGTGCAGGTCATCACCAGAGATAGGGAGTTTGTGCTTTGTGTAACAAGAAGCTAGCCATTCTGCAGAGGGAGACTGAACTATATAGGGTAATCATGGGCAATGAAGTCCCTCCTCTCGACTGTAACTGTAACAGTAAAAGCTTAATGAGAACAGTTCAGTTTCAACAGATGCACATTTTTAAAAGAGACACTCACTGCTCATGCTGATATACTTACTGTAATTTATCTAACAACAGCGGTTGAATAATGTAACCATTGCAAAAAAAACAGTGGTGACACAAACACTGCTGGAAAACAAGGAACATTAAAGTACCAACTCTGACCAAATAAATCACAAATACAACAAAACAACAGAGCTGTCAATGTAAGACTGATCATGCGGTGAGTGACCATCCTACCTGCACACATGTCCGGGTACCACAGAACACCTTGGTCATAAAGAAAATGTGTTTGTCAGCCTAGGTGTGGACATTACAAATGTTTATATTTTTGCAGTTACAATCACATGCTGGCTAGTGATATGTCTGCAGTTGTATATTTAATCACTGCAATAATTAGCAGTACAATTTGCTTGTGTAAGGAAACAAGATTGTAAAAAGCCAATGTATGTATGCCACAGTTATAAATAGTGAAACAGTAGATGTTTGGCTGGCAGAACAATTCACATGCAATCAATGTTCACTACATTCATATTCTTATATTTATGAGTAATGAATCAATCAATCAACCAAATCAATCAACCAAACAATCCTTTTATCCACTATGAAATTCAGTTCTTGCTTTCTTCTATACCCAACCCCACCGGAGCACAAGCTCCTGATGAAGTCTCCATTACCTGTTGCCTTATGCTTAAATTAACTTCTTTAACAGCAACAGATGGCTATCAGCATAGAATTCAGTCAACTGACTGTGTAATTTATAACGATTGCTCATAATCATGTATAACCCCCCCCCCCCCCCCCCCACACACACACATGCACGCACAAACACACAAGCACAGAGAGGAGGAGAGAAAGGGAGGGGGAGTAGCAGAACAACAGTTATTATTCCTATTAATCGCTGAAAAAAGCAACATTATAGTTCTTAAGACATGTCTATATGAGATCTGTTTCCCTTCAAAGATGGTTAAGTGTACGCATGCTAAATACCCCCATGGCATTCAGGTTCAATACACATTTATTTTATCCATGCAATCAACATGTAACTCAGTTCCAGTTTTTATGTTATTGTGTCTTCAGTCCACACACTGTCAATCCTCTTACTGCTGGTTAGTGTTGAAAGAAGCACCATAATGGCACATGAGACATGCCTATAACAGCTCTGTCTGCCTCAGTGATATTGAAAAGTATGCATGCTATTGCCCCTGTTGCCTTCAGGTCGGAAATATCACGTTCATGCAATCAATATTTAGCATTAATTTCAGATTTATTTTCTGTACATTGTCAATTCTATTTTTGACTAGAAAAAACACTAATCTTCTTGTTGCTGTTTCCCCAACCTGAAATATTAATGGCAACCAGTGAACAATCCTCAAAGATTATATGTAGTGTATGGTAACAAATGCATGTAAAAGACTACAGTGACAGACTGGGCAAGGATGTTTCAGAAAGGATGAGTTCACCGCAGATCTTCCATGACCAGTCAAGCACATATTGTTGCAGCAGAAAAAAAACTATCACTATTACAACAATACAGGCTGTTGAAGCTCACGTCTGCTAGAGAAAAGAATCTGATGTGTCAACTGGGACAGTTCAAAAGATTATAAAAAAAACTGCAATACTGGAAGGCGTGTACGCAGTGGGTACCATGATTTCAAATTGATGCAAACGTAACGTATTGTGTAAAACACTTGGTTCAGAAAACAACTAGAATCCTTTTTTTTTTTTTTTTTTTTGCGAACTACATTTGCTGCCTACCTAAAAAGGGACAAAGGGATGCTTGCCTGAATGCCTACAGTGACTTTTTCGGACCATGATGCATAATTTATTCAAAGATAACACTTTTTTTTTAAATGCTGCCACAGCTGTTTATTTTATGCTTTTGTAATAAAGCCATCGGAAGGGGTTTCAAATGGGCGCTCCGTACAAATATGATAAAACAGCACAGCACAATGGGAACAGATACATTACAAAGCTTGCACCTATGACCTACCAGTACTCATTGGCTGAACTGGTGCTCCAGAGATCTTGTTCAGGGATGGTCCTTGTGATGGGAACTTCTGTTTATTCCTTGGATTCAGGCCATCAAGACTTATATTCACTTTTGTAGTGGCATCTGTCCATGTGTTTGACTTCTGACCAGAAAGGAAACAAAATGATTACTGGTCAGATAAATGCATTTTCTTCTTCAGCATTCACCCTTAAAAGGTTGGTAGGCGCATTGTGGTTTACAGCAGGCTGCAATATCTGCACCTTTTAGCCTAACACATCTGATCTTATTTCTCATGTAGCATTGAATATTTGAGCCAGGATCATAGCTCGTCCGCCCTTCACAGTATCTTTACCTGCAAGGTTTTCAGTCTGCTCATTTCCCTGTACGCCTGCCCTAGCATGAAAATGAAACTGATCTTTGTCAGCCCTAACCACCTCAGAGACTCAAAGTACTAGCCTACTGACTTATTTCATCAAGATCATCACCATATACCATGCTGCTGGTCAGTGTATGTGGTCATGGTTTGCTATCTCACATGATCTCTCAAATCTCAGATCAGGTCAGTCGATATTCCTGCCCTGCCCATGACATGTGGTCAAGTCATCTACTTATTTATCTCTTTGTCCTCCCGTTGTTCTTTGTCCTTTAATCTGCCAGCATTCACAAGGTTTTCACATTTATTTCTCTTCACAACATGTCTAATGTCTGCAATTAGTTTACACTTTTCATCAATTTCTTGAAGGTCTGCCTCATCTGTTTTAATGCCCTTCACCGCCATACTCCTTACTTCAACAGGACTGCAGATCACAAAAGGGTAGGGTCTAATGTAGTTATTATGGGTGCCTTGGTGATAAATTTCCTTGTCAGTCGAATGCAGTATCTGGAATCTACCATGCTGGAATGACATTCAGATGAACTGAGTTGCAAGCATGTGAAACTTTCTAGTAGCAGCCTGAAGAGGGAAAAACTGTCAGTTCTTTCACTTCTGCAGGAAACCATACTCAGACTGCCCTTTAGATTTTCTCAGGCATCCACTTGTGCCAATGGCTTCAGGAAGATACTAGCCTCATCCAGGAATGAGGAAATGCAACCTTAAAACTTCACATGACAGGAAAGACCAGGCCCTCATCCTCAGTTGGTCTAGGAGAACAGCTCTGCCAGGCAGACAGACCACCACTCTTCTGATCCAGCAGCATGCTTTGCTCTAAATGTATTTGTGTTATCTTTCCTTTGGAGTTAACAAAGAAAGCAGAGAAAGGGATCATGCTGCATGGGCAACACATGATCTTTACAATGATGCCCTGGATTTGTGCCTTAACTGGGATGTAATACCTATGTCGCCCTTTATCTCAATGAAACACTGCTCTCTGGAAAGACAAAGGTGCCAAAAACAGATATTTCTCTACTTGATATATTTGCCATATTAAAACACATAGAAAGTTGCTTTTATTTTATTTCTGCTTCCCATGACTACCAGTATTTTCATCACTAGTGCTGAATTAAAAGTATTATTTAAGATAGCAGATTCCAGCCACTTCTCCAACAGTTCCAGCATTAACAAAACAATCATGTGTTAGCTGCGGATGACAATTTCCAATGTTAAAGAAAACAGACAATAAATCAGGGCTATTGAACTAAGTTTACTCAGGGGCTAAAACTTTTGAAACTTTATGAAATGGGGACCCCTAGATAAAATACATTACAACTGGTGATGATTTGCAGGCCAGCAGCTGGGTTCTCGATCGCTGGTATGCAGGCTGGAATAGTACGAGTCGGCCTTTAGGCGCATTGGGCATATAGGAAAAGCACCCATATTTTTCAGACCAATCGGCACTAGGTGGGTAATGTGGTCAGCATTACACCGGCCATGTTTACTTCCCCAGGACAAACATTCTGGTACTCATTTTAGGCTGGGTCGACCTACGATGCCCCATACCATGATAAAAACCCAGCCAGCAGTGGGTCGCCTACGCCCCATACCATGATAAAAACCCAGCCAGCAGTGGGTTTAGATCGCCACATTGCTGAATAAGCCCGGACGTGCAGCTAATTAACAATTACGTTTCTATTTTTCTGTTAGCTGTCCATTCTTCCTACAAAGTAACTAGTTTTTTAATATAAAATTGTTAGTATCATGTAACTTGCTGGCAAAGTTCAAGACAAAATGTGAGTGTCCCATGTAGAAGAGAATTCAAGCCATCTTTAAGCTGCAAAAAGCATAAAATCTATTGCTATTAGTTGTGCAAAGAAAGAAAGCAATCTATGATAACATTAAATAACCTAAGGTTAATTAACTTCATTGGTGACAAATATTTTACAGATGCTGCTGAAATGCTACAGCAGTGGTCGGCAGCATGGTTACAACACTGGGTTCACATGCAAGGGCCCAAGGTTTGAAACATAAGTAAGGTTATGACAGTTTTTTCTGTCAGGGGCAGACACAAAAATCCTAACCTGCAAATACACTTGCTACGCTTCCCTAAATCATTTGGCTCAGCTTTGTCCAACACTGTCCTAAAAGTGGTAAATATAGGCTCTAAAGACAGACAGGCTGAAATTATGAGTGCACAAAGGTACCCTTGTAATAAACATCTCAACGATTTGATGTCCTTTCATTATACTTGCAGATTCTTTCCATTCTTTCAACCTTTATTTTTCTTCTTAAATGGAAACTGTCAATAATCAAGCTACAATATGCAAATCTAGACAGAAAACTTCTGTTAATATGACTACCAGTTTTATTACTGTTGGCTTTGAACAAGCTTTCTTATTCATAGGAAAGTACCTCAAACTGCTATTTGTAGCTAAACAAAATTATATCCTGATCTTCTAAACTCCTGAGCAGGTACAAACTTTGCTGACAGCATTAACTATGCATCGCTCAAACATGTCAATGTAGACAAGTTGGAAAAAGTGACAGTTATGGAGAACTGTATCCAAATGGAAGAGTCAGTTTTGTGGCTTCTTGGGGTGAAAAAGGTTAATCGAGAAATGAATCTATACACCAGAAATTTTTAGTTATGTAGTTAAAAAAGTTAGTTGCGTATCCTTTACAGTACGTTGCAGAACCAACCCCAGCTCTCAGTACCACTGTCCGAAACCGTCCGCAGCTGGGATTGAACCCGGCACCCCGACATTACGAAGAGTATTCGCAATGCCTAAGCCACAGACCTGGAGTTGTGTAGCACCCTGATTAAACAACAAGTTTTGCTAGTTATTTTGCTCACTGTTAATGATTATCAAATAAAAGAAATAGTAGCAAAAAGATATAGGTAATTTTAAAAAAAAAATTTAAATGGAACTAATTAGATCATTTTGGTGTGTCAAATTAGTACATTTGTTTTGTTTTTTACCTACACTTGCTGTCATTAATTTAAGGGAAAAAAATAATGATCACTTAGATCGTCCAACAGTTACTACCATAGATATGCAGAGTTATCTCATTCTCAGTAGCACAAAGTTAAAATAAATTATGAACAAATGTGCAGTTGCTAAAAAACCAAAGTGACAATAATCAAAATGTTTTTAAGACTGAAGTAAGTCCATGTGCAAAAACAGTTCATTTCATTAGGCTACAATTAACTCTTTCAATACTAACTCTTTCAATACTAAAAAACTCATCATACATTTAATTTCTATGTAACTACAAAGATGATATGATGTTCTTGATGTCTTCTGTCACTAACAGCTGTTATATTAACCCTTTGCAGATGAATTATTTGTTTAATTCTTATCTTATCGCCTATACTCATTTACAGGAAAGTGCAAGCCCAACTACTTGGTTTATAAGATGTAGAAAAAATAACTGCTTGGGACCAAAAGAGTTAAATATCTTTCAAACATGTACTTCTGAATACTTTTTGGTGTTGGAAACTCTAATACATTGAGTATCCTTATCCAAATTACCAACTGGAAAGCACTGTCACCAAAAGAGTTCAAATATCAAGGATAGCGGTCGAGAAACTACTAAAAACAGGGTACTTCTGAATACTTTTTGGTGTTGGAAACTCTAATATCACAACCCACTCACCTTCAGAAAATGATGAGAACCTCTAATACCATTTGCTGCGATATATTTCAAGCACTTTTAAACTCTGTAACCTGTAGTAGCACATTCATTAGCTGGTGCGGTGGTCCTGGATTCAAATAACGTAAGGTGGGTTTTCCCCATGGTTCCAAGGTCAATACACCTCACCAAAATGAGCTTCAGCTAACTGTCTTGAAAGTGGTGACTGGTCAAAAACTACCTGTCCACCACCACATACACATCAGGAACAATGGTACTGCTGTGGCTAGTACACTTGTATGCCAGCCTAATGGTTGTCTGTCACAGCTGAATGAAGTCAAGTAGGAGGTGAGCAACAATACAAGTGGGAAGAGAAAACCAAGAGCAGCCTTACTGAGTGCAGTGACTGAGCAAGACACGGTGAAGAAGAGCCACTTCAAGGAACTGATCACCCCACTTCATTCAGCTGTGACCCAGAATATCTGAAGATCCAAAACTGAAGACGGTTTGGTTCCTGGAAGAAGTAGAGATCGACCAGCACGATGGTGGACACAGGAAATCAAGAACACTCTGAAGGTGAAAGTTCACGAGGCAGGAGAGTTGACAAATGAGTAACAGGGTATCCATAATGTTGTGATGAGATGGATTTTCAGCAAAAGAACATGCTACATGATGACGATTACTCCACACCTCTATGCTAGTACTGTATCAGCCACAAAACTTGTCTCTGAGTGATTCAGGGTAATAATTATGACAACAGAAAGTGATCTAGTTCCTCCCACCTTTTACCAGCTAAAGATTATGCTCTGATTTCTGAGTGTATGCAGCACAAATCTAACCACATAATATGTGTTGCAGTCTAAAATTAGCAAATATGGCAAAGAAGGGAGCTGATCAACCATTCTCAAATGTTACAACCTATTAAACTATTCCTTCAAACTTCTACAGCAGTATCTGTCCAGGTATTACCTTTATTTCGGTTTTTTATTTTTCAGAAAAACTAAATGTGGTAAGCGATCACATTAGTTCCCAAGAAAAGCTTTATGAGCAATCACAAAGTTAGATATATGCTGGAGTAACCATATTCCCTAAAAAAAAATGGCATATCAGTCTTCAGTTAAGACAGCCAGACATAACAAAGAAGCCTATTTTTATGATAAATATTGTGAATTTAAAGATTTAACACTGACCTAATTATAAAGTAATGCAAGGAAAAACATTCACTGATTACACAAAATGTTGCTACAATAGCTTAACTGTTAAAAAAAAAAAACACTCTGAAGGTAAGGGAGGACCTCACTTTTACATGCACCTGAATTTTTTCTTTCCATAATTAATCATAGATTTTAGATGTATACTGAGCTAACCAGAATACATTTTTCAAGTACATTAATAAATGGCAGGAATTCAAGCAGGTAATAAAATAAAACAGCCAGGCATTCCAAATTAAATAAGTAGGGAAAAAAGCAGTGGGTATTATTAGCAGTGGTTATATTAAAAAGCCAAACTGGCAAATCTCTACAAATATGTTTTTGCCATACCAGCAAGGAACCATGGCTTTAAAAAAAACAGACCTTGATGCTTTCGGCTGTCAAAGTGACACTCTGACTTGAGCTCTGACTTTGGGTCACACAAGTCTCTGTTTTTACCTGATTAATACACCCAGGGCACATAAAAAATAGGTTCTCCAGTTGGATAGTGATACCATTTCTCAATTACATTATTTGTAAATCACATAACTTGGCTGTACAATTGTGTTGCCAGTTTAAATATAGGACAAAATTTATATAATCAGCCACCAAAAAAAATCAGTCCAACATAAGGGAGAGCACTACAAAATAAAAATTATAGGTTTCACTCAGTTGTTCTGGGAGGAAAATAGGTCAAATATGAAGAAAAACACCCATAATTTGGGTATCACAAATGTTAATATTGCTAGTTTTAGGGAACAATAGAGTGAAAAATTTCCCAATGGCATTAAATGTAAAACAGTTAAGAAACATTCCAAGTTTTGAAAGCAAAAAGGGTAATGTACCATAAACCATTGCAAGTTAACCTGAAATACAAATCCTTCTACTTTTCAATGATCCAATAATGAATAAATACCATGACGCTGCTGCATATTTTTAACCCAAACTCCTTAGGTTATAATTATTTGTACAGGACCCTTTTCTACCTATATAAGGCTGGGGCAACCAAGTATCATACAACTCACACCAACCAGAATGAACCATCACTTAAACATATTTCCTGTAATCCAACTGTTTCTATATTTCTGATAAATCTCCTTTATAGCTATACTAGCAGAGCAATTTTTTGGACTGCCTACACAAATCCTACTACAGATGAATCATGCTCCATCTGTGGGTTCTAGGGCTCCATTTTGGTGCAGGGTGGGAACAGACCCACTGCCCCCGACCCCCTCCCCCAATTAGCATGTCATAAAAGGCAACTGATTACAAGTTTGATGGAATCGGAGTCTTAGGCTGAAAAATGCAGACATCATAGCCTAGCTGTACACCATAGCACAACATGCCAACTGCCTTTTTGAGGATAAACATACAAGAAGAAGAAGAAAAAGAAGAAGAAGGAGGAGATGAGGAGGAGTAGGAGGAGAAGAAGAAGAAGAAGAAGAAGAAGAAGAAGAAGAAGAAGAAGAAGAAGAAGAAGAAGAAGAAGAAGAAGAAGAAGAAGAAGAAGAAGAAGAAGAAGAAGAAGAAGAAGAAGAAGAAGAAGAAGAAGAAGAAGAAGAAGAAGAAGAAGAAGAAGAAGAAGAAGAAGAAGAAGAAGAAGAAGAAGAAGAAGAAAGAAGAAGAAGAAGAAGAAGAAGAAGAAGAAGAAGAAGAAGAAGAAGAAGAAGAAGAAGAAGAAGAAGAAACATGTAAGCCAAATAGGTGAGGAAACAGCGAAAATGTCATCACACAGCCTGATGATGATAATCCTCACTATATTATACTGTTGCACACAAAAAATGTATCAGCAAAAACAGAGAATATCTTCTTCTTCTGCTATCTCTCCTCCCCAAATGGAGTACAGGCCTTCAATCAACATATACCAAGCCATTTGTAGACATGTTAATGATTGGAAGGATTTTGCAGCTAAAATTCTCTTTAGGATGAGGTAGACAGCTGTACGCCAATATCCTAGCCTAGGTCACCTCTTAGGGCATGCATGGTAAATTGATAATTTTTGCTTCCCTTGGGAGGATTCTGGTTACATCATTCTACTACTGTAATTGTCATTCCCTGCAGGTGGACTGTTTAAGCTTTGTTAAGCTTTATGTTTTCTATTATTATATGGCATTCTATTGTGTTACTCTTTAAGACAAGAGAATTAGTGCACAGCAAGTTATGTTAATTTCAGATGACTTTAAAACCATCACTACAATGTAACTACTTCTTTAAATAGAGCAATGGCCAACTAGCACTTCAAACTAGACAAAACTACACAGTGGTCTTGACATAAGTATATATCACTGTGATTCACAAGCTAGTGAATTCTATTACAGAATACTGTTTCCCATGATAAACATAAATGTAACTTTATGATATTAGAGCCATATAGAAAAGACATGCAGAATAGGAACTAATTAATGTCACACAACTATGCTACATCTAAGATGGGGATTTTATTCCATGGGCATTTATTCACGCTCACAGTGATACCTACAATATATTACCTGATCTGGGATACAAACTGCGTTCATTATATCCAACTATTTACAATACACTCTAATACACATGGGAGATGCAGTAGCCGGCTAGGTGCTCACCTACCAGCCCAAAGGTTTGGGGTTTTAAACCTGCATCATGTCCAATTCCCCCCCCCCCCCCCAATGTATCTAGTCTCGTAAGCTGACCCAACCTAAAATGAGTAAAATGTAATATACATAAAAATAGAGACACTCAGTACAATGTTGAACACAACTCTCACACTAACTGGTCTATAAGTCTTTTCTCGATGTGCCCATATTCTCGATGTGCCCATATTCTCGATGTGCCCATATTCTCGATGTGCCCATTTTCTCGATGTGCCCATATTCTCGATGTGCCCATATTCTCGATGCGCCCATATTCTCGATATGCCCATTTTCTCGATGTGCCCATATTCTCGATGTGCCCATATTCTCGATGCGCCCATATTCTCGATGTGCCCATATTCTCGATGTGCCCATATTCTCGATGTGCCCATATTCTCGATGTGCCCATATTCTTGATGTGCCCATATTCTCGATGTGCCCATATTCTCGATGTGCCCATATTCTCGATGTGCCCATATTCTCGATGTGCCCATATTCTCGATGTGCCCATATTCTCGATGCGCCACTGCCATAAAAAGTATCCTTTACTTTTAAATTTACTAACACGACTGTGACGACTTCACAGGACACATGCCTTTACCAGAGGGGTAATGATCTGTCAAGACCTGACTGCTCACACCTACACAGATTTTACCACCTCTGTCCCCTTGATTGTGATAATATTGGTATCAGAAACACTGAAATGTGCCCCTGCAACCTGGCACCTGAAAATGCTGAGCATATGCTCCAGCACTGTAAATTGTATGCTGCTAACAGAGAGGCCATCCGGCCTGTTCCAACCTCAATTTTAAAAAAAAAAAGCTTTATGGAACACAGGGAGATCTGGACTGCACGAAAGCTTTTATCAAAGCTACTTGCCTACTGATATAAGGTTTCCTGACAAAAGGATCAAAGAAGTACAAATAGGACAAATTATGTTACCTGCATGTTTGGGTTGATTCCTGTACCCATTCCTAACATTCCTGGATTCATAACTCCAGGCTGCTGGACCATTAGTGGCTGCAAAAGAATGCATAACAATTACTTAAAAAGAGGAATAAAACCATGCTCAATCATGCGTATGCCACAAAAAGGCAACTGCAATATCTATCTCTATTACTGCTAAGATATTATTCTTAGCGTTCACAGGCTGAAAACTGGTGGAAAGCTATTGTTGTTCATCCACTTCTGGATTTTTGTCTTGTAGAGAACTTGAGTTTTGCGTGCACCTCTGTTTTTACATATCTGGCTAATGTATGTGCAGATTGTTGGTTCATCACCTCTCAGACAGATGCACTCTGACTCTGAAAGAAATACTCCTAGTCAGTGTTTTATGGCATGCTTGTTAGGGGGGCAGTGGGTCTATACCCCCACCCCTAACAAAAAGGGGCCCTGGAACCTCTACATCAGGACTATTCAACTAAGTTTACGCAGAGGGCCAAGCATAGAAAAATCATTGATACAATAAAACTGGCAATGATCCACGGGCCACTTGTTAACCCTCCGCTGGCCTGATGTGGCCCGCAGGCAACAAGCTGAATAGCCCTACCCTACAGGAAGCTAAGATATTAAATGATGTGGACTTCACATTTACCAGATCTTGGCTTTAATGTGTGATCTAATTTTTTGTCTTCTTTCTATAACTCAGAGCCAAGTCAGACTTCTCTTTTTCTCTGTATTCATTCTTCTTTCTCTCTTATTCTGGAATACGATGTACAAATGTGTGCCCAATTATAAATTCACCTTATTTCATTATTTCCAGTAGTGAAACTGTGGTCTCTTTTTGCTTTTTAACACTATCATATCAAGTAGGTTTTGTTATTTATAAGATATGTTAAAAAAAATTTGTGTTTTTGTTTTGGTAAAGGGTCAGGAATTTTTTGATCGCAATAATGCGTTGGGCATATGGTGCTAAACATATATTTTGATAGACTGATTGGCACTGGATGGGTTAACATCAACATGTGGTCAATATAAATTCCTTCTTTTTGGCATTCACCTGTTGTAAAATCTAGGGAAAAGTTCTGCTTGTTCATCCATTTCTGGACTTGTTTTGTTCCAGAATGTGAGTTTTGTGTGCACATCCTTTTACAGATCTGGCTTATCCATTTGTAGACTGCTGGTTCCTCACCTCTTTGGGACATGCACTATGACTTAAAAGGAAACACCACTAACAGTTCAACTTTTATGACATGCTTGCTGTCGAGGGAGGAAGGAGGGAAAATGGGTCTATTTGTTTTGTCCTCCACAATGGGTCACACAGCGGTATTCAACATAAATGTAATGAACCCTTTACAAACAAGAATTTTAGAATCAATTCCAGACCAGTGAATTCACCATTTATCTACCACAATGTTAGGGCAGAAACATTTCTAGTTTCTTTGTAGTAAAAAAAAAAAAATTTTTTTTAACACACCTTTTTTTGCTTCCCTGGTGGTTTCTGGTAACATAGTCTACTATAACTTTTTTTGGTCCAATTTGTTAGACCTTATTAGTCAAAGTAAGTAATCCTTTTCACTGACAGACAAATATTTAGTCATAATGAACCCTTTCCTTCCAGAAATCCCTTGGGAGAAAAACCTACAATCACAGGAATTCTCGAAAAAAATCGTATTTTAAAAAAGTAAAAAAAAATTTTAAAAAAAACAGCATGCACAGGCCACTGATACATGTTCAAAAAAATTTTTTCGGATTGTAATTTTTAACATTTTAAGTTGACAAAAATGAGGGGTATAATCAATAAATATGAACAGCGGATTTAAATCGGTGTCACCTACTTAGGCCTAAAACAAATATATTAGGAGATTCAGACTTGACCCTGTGACTGAGACAAGGTAAATTTTGACATTATTATAGCATTAAAAAGAATTAATTTCACAATAACCCCCTTCCCCTCCCCCCAACATTATTGTTAGTAAATATAAGCATAAGTGGTGCCTCCTAAACTTGCAAAGGCAGAAACAAAACCATTGTAGTTAATTAGGCTTCTCTGGGGAAAAGTCTCTCCTGCAGCAGTCCCGTCTGTGTAGCATTTATGAGGATCTACAGAGGAATGTACCTGGTTTTCAGCTTTTCGGGGTGAAAGAGTTAAGATATTAACATGTACATTTCTTGATAAGCAGATATTGGAGTCATGAACCAGTAAACGAGTCAAAAATTATGAAATTAAATACTGATGCAAGCCAAACTATACAGGTTGCTAAGTGAATTACAAAAGACAGTGAAGTTCCTACTAGAGACAACATTGCAGATTCGGATAATCTATTTCAAACGAAGGAAAGAAAAAGAAAAAGAAAACTTTTTTTTTGTTGAGATCCAAAGACACAATTCAATAAACATGCTAATTTAAAAAAAAAAAAATTCAAACCTAAAACAACAAAGTTAACAATATAAATGCACATAAAGCTGACTGACTGTTCTCTACCTGTTGCATCATATTTGGCATTGCAGTCATTGGCATCATTGTCGGAAGCTGAAAAACAGTTTACCATAACTGTTAATGAAGTGAAAATAAAAATATGATCCGAAGTAAGCGACCTAACAGGAGTCTATGATCCACAGTAACAGATCCAGCAACAATCTATGACTGATTCACAGTAATAGGTCTAACAGCAATCCATGACTGATTCACAGTAAGAGATCTATCAACTATTTATGACTTAACAACAGTCTATGACTAGTTCACAGTAACATATCTAACAGCAATCCATGACTGATTCACAGTAAGATATCTAACAACAATCTATGACCAAACAACAGTCTACGATGGATTCACAGTTACAGATCTAACAGCAATCTGTCAGTGATTCACAGTAACAGATCTAACAACAATCTATGAAAGAACAACAGTCTACGACTGATTCACAGTAACAGATCTAACAGCTGTCTACGACTGATTCACAGTAACAGATCTAACAGCTGTCTATAACTTATTCACAGTAACAGATCTAACAGCAGTCTATGATCCATGCAAAAAAAACAAAATACACCAGCAGTATCAAATCCACAGTTAAAAATCTAACAGCAGTCTGTGATCCACAGTAACTAATGTAACAGCAGTCTTGAATCAATCAAATCACTTCAATGAACAACCTACCATGTTCATCCCCTGACTGTGCATAGCCATGCCCCCAGCTGGCATACCCATGCTGGACATGGGCATGGTCATTCCAGCAGACATGCCCATGGGAGCCATCCCCGGGGCCATACTGGTCATCAGCCCCGGAGCCATCATGGGCGCCCCCATCAAGCCCAGGTTGGGCTGTATCGGTGTTAGGGTGGGTGTGGTGGGTGAAGAAAACACATCAAACAGGTCATTAGCAGCAGAGGATGACAGTGCTGCTGGAGCTGCTGATGCTGCTGCATTTGTAGGAATGGCTGAAGTAGGTGATGTGGGAGATGAAACTGCTGCGGCACTGAACTGGCCAAAATCTGCAAATCCACTTGTAGAGCTAGAGGAATAGAAGAAATGGAAGTCAATGAACTCTCAGTCAAGAGCTGCGTTTAGTGTATACATTATAAATAAAGCTAATTTTCCTAACAGAGCTTTCATGTATGCAGACCGGCTGGCTATACCATAGCTGCAGTCAGCCAGCCTACGGATCATGCTGACACTGTTAATACACTAGAGCAGCTGGTTTACTTAAACATTATAAATAAGGCGCAGCGCATGTATGCCCCGGGCTATACCATAGCTGCAGACGGCCAGCAAGATCATGCTGACAATTTAATAAAAGCTTTTTCATAATTAAGCACCCCGGGAGCCAAAGAATTTAACTAAGACACAATAGTCATAGTTTCACTTAGGTTAGGGCGCTGTGGAAAAATGTTAATTGAAAAAAGGCACCGCGACCCCAAAAAGTTTGGGAAATACTGCCTTAGAGAAAGGTTGATACAAATAAAATTGGTGGAGTGGGGGGGGGGGGGGGGGGGGGCCAGTGCACCCACAATGCTATCTCTAGAATGTGAGAACTGGGAGTTGCCAGGCATAAAAAGAACACTGGTCAAACAAGAAGTCTTAATCAACCACTACTTCCCTTATGGAATCCCCTTATATCATCTGCATTATTCATTTAGGGCTATTGTGCATATAAAGAGGTAGAACCTCTACTACGATGTAAAGATGTGTGCAAGCGGGACATGAATGATACAGGTATTGAGGTGGACTCATGGGAACAAAACACCACGGACAGTATTGTGTGAAAGGGCATATCAGGAAGGGAATGAGAGCGAGGGGGAAAAAAGACTGCAGAAAGGATAAGAGCTGAGCGTCTGAAAAAAACAACAGGATTTAACACAAATGTTGACAAAAATGGTCCTGAAATCCTGTGCTATCATTGTGGAAGATTTTTCTTGACACAGGCCGGTCTTGCTAGTCACACTCGCCATCACTATGGGCTGTCAGTCCCATGCCTCCTCATAGCGCAATATAACACTATCATCTGGAAAGACGGAAAGATGCCAATAAATCGCACACAAAGCATTTTTTTTCTACCTCAAAATGAAAAAAATAACTTACTTTGTGTTGCTTGAGCCCGTGGCAAACTGACTAAAATCACCAAATTCATTGACACCTGGCATTAGACAACAAGAAATATGAAGGCATTTTCTCATAAAATCAACTTGTGAATTCTAAGAGCAGGAAAAAAAAAGAAATATTTGTGGACAATTACAAAACACCAAAATGGTAGAAATTAAAAGCTATCAACTTTCTTAATAAGCATTCAAGTCCAAGAACTTGTTATTTGTCAGCCACAAAGTAAAAAGTAAATGATAAATATTCCCTATGTGGGTTCTAGGGTTCAGCTTTAGGCAGAAAAAGAAAAGAAAAATATATTACCACTCCCCTCCCCAATCCCCAAAACAAGCATGTCATTAAGGCAAATAATCTGAGATTTGCTAAAGTGAATGTGTTGGGACAAAAGGCACAGACACCACAGCCTGGTTGTAAACCACAAAACAGCATGCCAGCCGCCCTTTTAAAGGTGAATGCAGAAAAAGAATGATAAATTTTGAAGGCTTGAAATCATGAATCCAGATACAGAAGATAACCAACAGTTCATTACCTGAGAGATGCAACAGTCGTACTTCAGGCACTCGTCTGGAAAATTACTGGTATACAGACACTACTCTCCAAACTGGGCAATCAGTGTAAGTAACTAGGCAATGGATACCATCACACTGCGGAGTTCCCAGAAATGAGAGAGCTGATAAACTAGCTAAGTGTAATGTTGTGAATTCCCGGGGAAATCCCAAAGAGTTCCTGATTGGGAGGACTAGGTCAGAGGGCTAGTGAAACAAGAGGAAAGTGAGGAAAGCATGTCCTGAGTATCCCGTGTCGGGTGAACAGAGATTTGGAGAAATCGTGAGACTTGAATGGAAGGTGTGAACCCAAAGAGGGTAGGAAGTCAGTTGAAGTTTGGACCTGGATGTGTGCGGTTGAATGCAAGAGAACAGCTGAGAAGAATGCAGGCCGTCTGACCACGTGTAAATGTTCGAGGGCAGAAATGAATGTCTACTGACTGTAAGTTTTGACTATATACAGATACAAGGAACAAGATGTTAGCCTGATCCAGATGTATGATCCGAAAGGTAATGGCAGAGAGAATCACTGTGTGAGATAGCTGGAAATGTTGTCATAAATCAGCCATGCATAGCAACCACGTGAACACAAGTGAGCGACTGGACAATGCGACTGCTGGAACAGTGAATAAAGATAAATAACTGAGTGTTCGTCGTCTGGTGTATTCCTAGTACCTTTATGTAACTAAGAATGTCAGTATCGCAATGTGACGAGTGCAATCAAACCCTAGACAGAGCAACATTGCACTAAGGAAGGGGCAAATGAAGAACAATCTTTTAATAGCCTCTTATCAATAGGAGAAGAGAACAATCAAATCAATCAGAAAGCCACCAAAACTGGAAGAAATTAATTAACAGATTGACAAATCAGCAATGTGCACATGCGGATTGGCACCTGAAGCAACAGATCACATCCTCCAAGACTGTCCCAAATGAAACATATCAAGACAAAAAATTCAGGTCTGTGCAAGCCTAACTTTACAAGTCACTGAGTCAATTACAAAAGACAGTGAAGTTCATACTAGAGACAACACTGAAAATACATAGATATTATTTCAAGCAAACGAAAGTAGTAGTAGTAGTTCATTAAAATGACAACACTGAATAGGTTTGTACGAAATGAGAACTAGGTATGTCACAAATCAGGACTGGACTTGAAGGTGTTTAAAACAAAAGATCAACTTTTGTTGCAATGGGTTTATCTCACATTTGGACTGGCGGCAGACTGCTGTTGAAAATATGCTATTTATCACTAGTGGCTTGACTTCTATACTAATGTACAAGTGAAAAAATTGTAACTTTAGACAAATAATTACTAGATTATAAGATGGAGATTAATGAACAAACACGCAGACAAAAGAAGGCAGAACTCCAAAGAAGAAACTCATAAACAGATAACTCAGACTGCACGTCATAAGATGTGTACACACATACCAAACAAAACAAAAACAAACCCCCCCCCCCCCCAAATGGTTGATAGAGTACGATGATGAAAATACACACCTTGCACTGCATTATTCCTAGGATTAAAATCATCATTTCTGGATGAAGCTGACTGGAAATTGGAAAAATCCGCAAAGGATTCCTGACCTCCGGATGGCTCCAGGTCAAACAGACTTGGACCACTGTCCACTGTTGACGAAGTCTGGCTCTACAGAAAAGAGTTGCAATCTTGAAAAGCATCAAAAACAGAAAATGGTATTTGAGTACCACTTAATAGCCATAACAGAGCAAATCGTACGCTGACAGTTAGTCTCTTCAATATTGTTATGTTGTGGTTTACAGCTAAGCTGTGATATGTGCACCTTTCAGCCAACATATTAGATTTTAGGAAACTCCTAATGGAATCTACTAAGAATCCTCCTGTTGTACTGTGAAGAAGGCAGTAATTATGGTCTCACATTAAGAACCACTACAGTTCTCAAGATACCTTGGACACCGATAACACAGCCAATCAAATTTTCTTCTCACAGTCCATACTGTATGCAAGGCATGCATAAGAACAGGAGATGGATGACAGCACAAGGTAGACCCAGAACAAGATGAAAAGTTAACATCAGAGACGACTCTACCACAGTAAGATGTGTCTATAATAGAGGCTAAATGGACGCTAGGCACGGCCGCTGTTTAGAGCCGTGGCAAATTTTTTTGCTTCTGCCAGACGGTGGCCATTGCATTTTTGCTCCATTTGTAGACAAAGGATATAGTTTCATCGTCCAGCTTCTGAGCTGAGTGCATGGTGTGACACTGTGAGCTGCGGATTTCATTTGGAATGTTTTTCTACTGTGACCAACGTGGTGGTGGTGTGAATTGTAGATTCAGAAAATGGCGTGATGGCTGTTGTCGCAATATTGGTATGGCCATTATGTGATTAAAATTGATCGCGGCTGCAACTGCTGATCTGTTGGTGACTTCTGCTACCATTCATGATGAACTGCATTTCTAATGTCGGACTGTTTGTGTTAGCACTTCGGATGGCTACTGTATGCTTTTAATGCGTGTGTATGCTAGTGCATATGCTGAGACAGGAGTCTGTAAATCTTTCTACAAGGGACTGTGATAAAAATTTTGTATGTTTTTCATTGGCACAGGAGCGGAGCAACTATGGGGTGATCCGTTTGCTATGAAGCTGAAACTAAGATTACAAGAGGAAGGAAGAGCAAGAAGAAACACCTTATATCTCCTTCAATACCCAAAATTTAAAATCAGAAGTAAAGAAGTCCAAAAGGTGCTTGGTCTTCCTCTTCCTCTCCTCCAATTTACCTGTAGTCACGATGTACTCCAGTTTTCCCCACTTAATGAAAGATCCCCAAAAATGCAGACTGTTGCTTTTGATACAGGTAACCAGCTCTCCTACTACTAGTGTCCACCAGGTGGCCGATGGTGGAACGGCCTCTAGATATAGAGGTTAGCGTGAATATATTGAATGAGCGGCCGTGGACCAAAAAAAAGGGGATGGTCATTGAGAGGAGGCGAGCTAGCAGGTGGAACAGCTAGATTTATAAGACACCTCAAAACTTCAAGACATAGCCATCGGCGGGTAAGAGGTGCCATTATAACCTCTCCATCCTGCTGCCTTGTAAGGTGTGTCTCTTTAGACAAAGGCCAATAGAGTAAACCATAAACAAACCAGCGGAAGAAAAGGGAAAACCGCCGCTGTATTTTCCCTAGTAAATCATGCCTTTAAAACAACAGAATTCATACTGATACACAGTTGCAGATCGCCCCAGTCAGCAAGACACTTGATGATGATGAACCAGCTCTCTTTGAGAATAAATGTTTTCTTCCCAGGTTGGTTCTGTGACCCCATTTTTGGGCAAAATAGAAAAGGTCCACTGGTCCCTAATAAGCATGTGATAAAAGGCAACTAATTGGGAGTTTACTTAAATCAAATGTGTTATGCCGAAAGGCCTAGCTGTAAACCACAGCACAATGTGCCAAATACCCTTCTGAGAGTGAATGTAAAAGAATATTTCAAGATTACACTTGTCAATCATTCTAGTCAATAGTGTATAAAACCACACCTTACAGTTTTTACATAAATTCTAACTAATTTGCTCACTGTTCACGATTCCCTTGAGTACATCAGGATTGATTGTATAAAGTTTTAAAGAGATAGATTTTAAAAAAAAAATCTTAGTAGCACAATGGGGCACATGATGCCAGATATTTTTTAATGACTAATCAGCACTTGGTGGGTGCTGTGGTCCCATGACATTGCCTGGTACCCATTTTAGGCTGGGCCGACCTAGGAGCTAAGGTTAATTGTAAGAAAAACTCTAAGTGGATTCAAACCAAAGACCTTTGGGCCAGCAGATGAGTGTTTATCCACTGCATCATCATAGCTCCCTATGACCAGAATGCTGCAAAACAAATTCCCTAGCCATCTTTCAACACATACCTGTGAATCCCCATCCTTCCCAACACCTGTAGAGGCACTAAGATCAAGTTTCTTGCCTATGGATCGGGACCTTCGGTTTGTAGTAATTTTCTCTGTTTTTGTCGTTTGTGTTCTTTCGACGGATGTGTACTCCTCATCATCATCCTTGAAATCGTATTTGTCCCGGTCTCTTCCACCTGCTCGCTTTTCCCTGTCTTCTCTATATCTGTCATGGTCTTTCTCCCGATCAAATTCCTCATCATACCGGTTGCCTTCACTGAAAGAAAATTGTTTTGGTATATTTTAGATTTTATTTGTAAAAACCTATAGTGTGCACGCTTTTATAAAAATTTCAAAATATTAAGCTGGTTTCATACACACACACACACAAAATCAGATCAAATAAAGAAATGCACCCTTGTTTACAGTAGGACCATAATCATCAACAGGTGCCTTGCCAACTGGCGTGGGCGATCATGCCTCACCATAATCTGCAATCTCCTGCAGCAGGTATCAGTTCGAGGGCCGACACACCTCCATGCAGCAGGACCACATCTACCATATACAGTCGGACAATTAAATAATGAGACAATTTTATTATAGCCAAAACAAAAGAGCCATCTATGAAGCAAAGCATGCCATCCAAACAGACATCATTCATTTATGATTTTCACAATTGTATACCACCTGGTCAGAAGACGACAAGCAGCCTGCCATTTTGTTTAGCAAGTGACAGTTGGGCAAAAATGTATGCAGCATGAATGAACGAAGGAACTTTATTTTCAAAGCCAAAGATTTAGTCTTGTTCCAGAACTTGAGTTTTGCATGCACATCTGTTTTACAGATTCAGCTTATCTGTATGCAGACTACTGACCTCTCAGACAGATGCAACACAACTTTGACAGCAACACCCCTACTTAGCTGCCTCCTGTGACATGCTTGTTAGAGGGGCAGGGGGTAAATATCTCCCCCCCCCCCCCCTCAGGATGGGTATCCGGAACTTGCAAGGGGAGACCAGGGGACCCCGGATCCCCCACAAGCAGAATGTTAAAAATAAAGGCAAAGGTAATGATAACAAAATATAAGAGGAAATATTACAATTTAACTAACACTAACTGTTACCGTAAAATAAAGCAGAAATTTTAATAACAAAATATAAGAGGAACCGCTTCAATGATAAATACAAGAGGACGTTCCTTTTAAAACCAAAAATTCAAAGGAATTTTTAAAACAAAAATAATAGGGACTTTCACACAAAAAAGTACAAAAGGAACTACTAAAAACATGCATAGCTAAACAATAATCTGCATAAATTAAGAAAATCTATCACTGATATAGAGCGTCAACCATTCAGGAGTAATAGCAAACTAGTGAAAATAAAACCACAAACTGCCAACAATTGGGGTGGATTATATAACATCCTGAACATTTAACGAATTTTTTCTTCTTTAAATAATAATAAACAGTAAAAGCCAAACAAATCTATAATCACAAAACACAAATGCCACATCTAAGGTGTGCACTGACATGCTAAGGACAACACACAATTCCTACATGTCATCTGGCTGTTGCTTGCCCTGCGCACGGTTCCATAAATCTTTGGCCTTGTCTATGGCGCCGGTCACCACTGACTTCCTCCCCGTATCCCAGTCCTCAATTTCTCCCATCTGCTTCTCGTTTCGCTCATGGTAGTTCTTAGGTTCTTCTTCATAGCGATCGCCTGTTGGAAGAGCACAGTATACCTACTTTAGTCTAACTGAAAAAAAAATACATAAGGAGTTGGGATGCCGCTGCCGAGCAGCAAAAACACTGATTGCGGGTGTTGACAACATAGATTCAATTCTAAATGAAGAATATTAGTCAGATTCTCCCCCCCTCCCCCCCCCCACCTTCCCTTTCATTTTGTGATCAATCTGAAACTAGTTCATGTACCCACTGAAAAACTTGAAACATCAGTAGCAATACGGTCTACAAAAGGGATATTCAAACGGGTTAACTCAGGGGTAAAAATTTTAAACTTGGTGATCTTCATGGGCCACAGGCTCGAGCCTCAGCAAAGAAAGATCATTAATACAATACAAATGGCAACAATCCGGGAGCCACTTGATAGATCTCTGCAGGCAAGATTCAGCCCACAGGCCACCAGTTAAATACACCTGGTCAAAAGATTACATACCAGGTATATGCCTAACTACTGAAGCATAAGGAAATAACAACAGTTGACTACTAAAAAGGGGGTAGGAAATCTACACCAAACTTTAAAGATATCTATGCTAGTAGGTATAAAATAATCGTCCTTTGGTACAAATATGTCATCACAGGCTGTAGAAAGAAACAATGGTTATTCTTCTGCATGCTGAGTGAGTACATTTAGTCACAGCCTCACCAAGTTTCCCAGGGATGGCTTTACCGCTGCTGGTGCGTCTCATCCCTTGCTCTGTGACAGGCTCTGCGTCTGAAACCATATCATGGTAGATCATTTATATCCTCATTTCCCGCTGGGTTACGACATTTGTAGGTTTTCTTACACATCTCAATTCTGGAAACAATTTCCTTCTCCTTTGTTTGAGTGACTAATAATGAAACTGAATGGTTATAAGCTTAACATTAACACTTTAGGAAGAAATACAGAGAACAATAAGCAACAAGCAGAAGCAAATCAATATTAAATTATAAGCACTGCTACATAACAAGCATGCCAAAGGTAATCTATTCATTTTGTCAAAAGTTTTTTTTTAGTTTCTATAGAGAAATTATGTTGCTGTCAGGTTCTGTGAAAATATTAAGTAACATTTTTTTGGAAAGACTTAAAGATGCCACTGATAAAGAGCTAAGGGATGTACAGGTAGGTTTTCAGCCAAACAGATCCTGTATTGACCAGACAGCCACAATACGCATAACAATAAAGGAGAGCATCGAACTAAATTCACCACTTTATAATGGATTTGTAGACTAAGAAAAAGCCAGCTACAGACCTCGGAAGTGAACAGGAGAACGGTTATTATGAAGAGGACAAGATGAAGTTCAGAGCCAAACGATATGGGAGTGTCAACATATCCAACTCTTGCAGGCCAAATAGTGAAAACCCATTTAAGTTAGCCTGTCTGTGCCTGCTGAACGGGGGAAAAACTGGCAAAAACCTATATATGACAGATGAAACAGATGCTGCCCTAGACTTCGCTAGAGTGACAAACTCAAGTAGTCACAGAGGACTACATGTGAAAGAGAAATGCACCTGAAATCTGCTCACAGTAATTACCAGCAAAGTAATGTATATGACCATTACATAAAATGAATGACAAGTAACTATGTACATTACTACTGGTGTGATAAGCAGCTAAGTCAGTTATTAGAGACATGACAAGTATATGTAAGTTAAAAGTTTAACAAGTAACTTAGATTATTAATGGCATGTCAAGTGACTAAGTTATTAAAGGCATGACAACTGCTATGTATGTTAAAAGCATGAAAAGTAAAAAAGCTATTAAGCAGGATAAATAAATAAATAAATGCATGACAAGTAACTAGGTTTTTAGAGACATGACAAGTAACTAGGATATTAAAGGCATTACAAGTAACAAGGTTATTTAAGGTATGATAACTAAATTATTAAGGATACAACAACAGTAAGTGAATAGAAGGACAGTAAAAGAAGAAAGTCAGGCATTCAGTTCAACTACTTCAGACATGACATTGTAGATAGCAACTGTCACAGGGGTGCCTGTAAAGACGGCAGAACAGAAAGCAATACATACAATAAGGGTGACAGACTCAAAAAGTTTGATTAAGATGATCGGTTCAAGTAATGTTTTCCACCACAGAAAGAGTGTGACTTCCCTTCCGATTCATGTCTCGTCGCATCGTAGGGTCTCTCCTATGTTGCGGGTGTGACATGAATTCCTTATTGTGAATGCTTTAACCCACTCTCAATTTTCTTGTCTTCTCTGCTCACATGCATGATTATTTTCACATTCTGCTACCCGTGCGATGGTTTGTGAGTTATCGAAACTGGGATTTTTGTGGGTATTTCTACAATCCTTATCAGTTCCTTCTCTGTCTCTGGGGAAAGCTACCACCAACTAACAGAGAAATACAAAAACATCCCAGTTTTCATATTCACGAACCGTCATCCCTGCAGCGCTTTCCCCTGCAGCACTTCTTACTTGAACACAGGCACCTGCGGCACCTAAAAGAGACTCAGGACAACATAACCAACCACAAACATTATATACGCCGAGCAAACACCAAGCCATATCAAACCCCCCCCCTTTCCCCAACACAAGAGAGGCCTTGCACCGTGACAAGGCATGAATAGGAAGGGAAGTCACTCTCTTTCTGCGGCAGAAAACCCTACTTTAACCGGAAAATCGAATGTTTGACTAAAATCGGCTGACAGAATCCAGAAGTCATGATTCAAGAAACTATCATGGCTGTACACATCAGGATGAAAGGAAATTAAAAACTGGCACACTGGCCGTGTCTGCAGTGGTTTGTGGAGGAAGAAATAGGGATAGGACAGACTATGCAGAGATATGACACAAAACCCTTTTATCATAGGCGTGGCAAATAACTAAGCGAGCTAGCAGAAGAGTAATAAGTAACTTTTTATGTTGTTAGAGGCGTAAGACAAATAAGTTTGCTGAGAAGTAACAAGTAATTATGCTTGTTAGCAGATTTATAGTAAGAAGCTATATTAATTGTTACAGGAGTGAAAAGTAACTATGTATGTCATTAGAGGAATGATAAGCAACAAATAAGTTAACATTGGAGTGACAAGTAACTATATATGTTATTAGAAACATAATAAGTAACAAATAAGTTAATAGAGGAGTTACAAGTAACTATGTATGTTATTAGAGGCATGATAAGAAACAAATATGTTAAAAGAGGAGTGACAAGTGATTATATATGTTAGTAGAAGCAAGGCAAGTAGTTAATTTATTACATGCTAAATAACTGACTAGTGGATTGACTAGTAACTGTAATTTATTTCATGGTGGATTAAAAATGACTACAATTACTTACTATAGGTACCTCCATATCCCATGGCTTCGCTGGAGACCCCCACATACTTGTCCTTAGTTTTTTTAGCCTTTTTTCTTTCTTCTCTCAATCTGTCATCATCTTGAATAAAATCAAGCAGTTCCTTGACTTTGTGACGAACTGGTGAAAAATAAAATTCAAGAAATTTTCTGAACTGTTATTAAGTATTACTCACCCCACCCCCCCCCCCCAACCAAACAATTATAAATTTCTTCTACTTATTCTGCCACTCATCTCTAAATGGAGAATAGGCACACAGCCAACTCATGCCATTTCTCAGGTTATTCCAAAACAATGCAACTATGGCATTCAACCCTCAAGAGAAGGCAAGGAACGAAACTCTACCGATCAAGACACATAATGCTTTAGTAAGGGGATCTCAGCAGTAAAAGTCATGTCATAAACATGCCTGCTTAACCTCATTTCCACATGCTGAACCATCCCATTCATTACGGACCGAACCTTTTCAAACTAGCAGGGCCTGAAAGATATAGACAACTTTATTTACTGACTAATAATAATAAAAATAAAATGTTACTGGTTTTAAACAAGAAAGACCTGTTGTGTGGCTTTTTTTTTTAAAGCTGAAAAACACTTAAAACTTTTCTAAAATGATGAGCCGAGTGCCCTAAGAAAAAAAAGAAAAAATTATTCGTGTACTAATATAAAGTTTCCACAAGTTTTAAAAAAATAAAGAAAATGCAAACATAGCATACCATTTAGCCCTTGATCTTTGCCTTGTTCATCAAGACATGAATAATTCTCTAGCCCCCTCAAATCATATATATGTTCCCTTGTGCTCGTCACAACTCGCTCGGATCCATTCTTGACCAAATAGTTCAGCAAAATCAGTGACTGTCAGGGGACAATAAAAATCAAAATACATGTAAAATCAATGTTATATGATAACTGTTCAATAATGTGGTTGTTCTCTAGAGAATTGTTTTACAACCTTTTTTTTTTCATCTGGCACTTAAAGCAGAAATGTAGATAACATTTAATTAGCCCATTCTGCTAAAAGAAAAAGTGTCTTTATTTTACCACTTCTGTGGTGTAGCAGAGGAGTCTTGAGTCGAGGATTTACGGCCGCACGGCTAGTGCTGTCGCCACGACTGGGCAGGTGAGGATTTTGTTGTTGCATTAATCCATTCAAATGTTATAAAATTAAGATCTTTAGCAAATGCAATATTTTCTGCTACTTAGAGGTCAGAAGAAATATGGCAGGTGTGGCAGAAGCATCATTTCACTCAACCACTACATGATGGATGGACCATGAGAAAATGTCTGCAGTTTGATGCCAGTCTACAGACCACAGGTTGAAACGCCTGTCTCTAGAGAGTTCTCAACATCTGGTCTAGTGCACTGTATTATTCTTCTCTGCATTCACTGGCTGTAAACTCCAGCGGAAAGCTCTAGGAGTTCATCCACCTCCAGACTTTAGCCATGTTTCAGAACTTAAGTGTTACATGCACATCCGTTTCACACATCTGGCTTATTTGTAAGCAAGACTCCTGGTTCATTGCCTCTCAGGCAGATGTACTTCAACTTCGAGGAATACCTAAAATTAGTCGGTACCTACGACACGGGGGAGACAGTGGATCTATTCTTGTTTTCAGCATAGTGGGACCCTGGAAGCATTGTACTTAGGTAATATGAGCACTAAGAAATGGTCAGTATCTATCAGAATAAGGCTGAGTACAAGACTTTCTCCCCATGGTACACAGGCATCATCTCTAGGGAGACTGTGATGCAGATCTACCCTTTTCCTTGCCAAAATAAAAACTAGCAGTAAAACAAGACAGTGAGAGGTAGTCAATGACCCTGAGAGCTATGCTGATGGTATTATAGCTATCAGCAGCCTCATCCAAGCGAAACAGGTCAAAGAGCAGAGAACGGACAATGAAAACAACAAGGAATAGAGAGCGAAAAGCAACAAGAAAATTCCCTATCTGTTCAAATCACTATTACTTACTGGCATAAATAGGCTAATAGATTGCAATGGTTAGGACATATAGAGTGAATGGCAGACAACAGAAAGACCAAGATTCTGCATACACAAGAGTTGATGGCGGCAGTCCATGAGGCAGACCAAGATGACGTTGGAGACACATATTGGTGCCAACAAGTGGGAAAGAAGACCAATCAAACAGATGAAAGGAGGCTGGTGATATCTACAGCAATGAACCTCAAGAGCTCTGAATGCAGAAGGAGGAAGTATTGAAAGGGGGGGGGGGGGGGAGAAGTTGAAGTCATAATTCACTGCAGCATATAGTGAATGGACACAATTAGGATGGTTATTTCCTCCATAGATTTCTAAGCGTTTATTGTGAACAGATTCCAGTCCCACACCCAAAAAAAAAAACATGCTAAATATACAGGCTCCTTGTGTGGGTTCAGGGGCCTTATTTGCCCCCCCCCCCCCCCCCCCACACACACACAAACAAGCAAATAAACCAGGTCTGTAAAATGGATATGCAGACAATAATTCAATTTACAGAACAAGATAAAGTCCAGAACTAGATGAACAACCAGAACTCTGAACCTGAGTTTAAAGTCGGTGAATGCTAAGAAAAAGAAAAATAAATAAACAGGCTGATAAAAATGTATCTGATTTACTTCTTTTTCTGGTCCTTAAAAGGGCAGTTGTCATGTTTTACTGTCAATTTCAGGAAATCCTTAATTAGTTGCCTTGTGTAGCAAGCCAGGTAAGGAGGCACTGGGTGTATTTTTTGGGGTCCCCTTGGACGCACTCATGGAGAAAAAAATATATAATTATCAAAATGGTATTATTTAGCTAACCATAATGACCCACACTGAGCAAGTATGTAATATGACCTACATGTCAAGACCCACACAGGACAGTAAGTTTGAAGCCATAATGTGCCCCATGATTACTGTTTTACACAGCTAAAGAGGAAAAATATTGGAACTTTGAACTCGACCAGTACGAGAGCCTCAGTTAAGTAAGAGATAGTTTGGTTTCAGGTAGGGAAAGAGCTGCACAGATGCAATATTTTCTCTAAGGGAGATAGGCGAGAGTCTATTGAATATGATAAAAGCCATCAACTTATAGATCAATAAAAGGTGTTGGATTGAGTCAATAGATGCAAATTAAGGAAAATTCTAGAAGATAATGGTATTCAAAATCAACAGTTGGGTAACATCATGGCTCTTTACCAAGATAGTCAGGGCACAGTAGGAACAATAGAAGGAAAGACTGGTTTCCCATCTCATCAAGTGTCAGATAGGGATGTGTCCTCTCACCGCTGCTGTCCATTACTTACACAGACAGAATAACACAGGAGGCAAATGCAGACATTGGAGAAATTAATGAACTTCTTTTTTTGCAGATGATCAATGTCTAATATACTTCTGAGAACAGAATTTACAACACCATATTCATTCCTTATTTCAAACCTGCACAAAGTATGATATGAGAATTAACACAGCAAAAACTAAGGTAATGAGGATAAGCTGGAAACATAATACAGTGAACGTCCATGTCAACAGTACTTCAGTCAAACAAGTAGGAAAATATAAATATCTAAGAAGCATATTTACGGAGGATGGCAGAATAGACAGAGAGAAAGAAGCCAAGTACAAAAGGGAAATGCTGTCATGTACCAATCAGACCCACCGCTTAGACACCCAAATGTCTCCCTTCTAGCAAAACAGCAAATGATTAATAACATCTTTATCCCTACTTTATGTTATCAGTGCCAAACACGGACAATGAATAGGGCACTAGAACTCAAAATAACTACATGTGAAATGCGTAGTCTCTGCAACGTCATTAACAACACTAGACAAAACAGGGTTATGAATACCAGGATTAGAGAGTAAGTTTGAAAAAGTCCATGTCTGGACTATACTGGCAGACAAAGAAGGAAATGGTTCGGCCATCCACAAACAATGCAGCCAAAGCAGACTGCATATGAGAATTTTTGCAGTAGAGCATCTGGGAAAAAGGCGAGAGGAAGACCAAGACAGAGATGGATAAATGGTGTATCCAAAACCTGCAAAATGATGAATCAATCCATCACTCAAGCCGCCAGAGAAGCGCAAGACAAATACAGACAATCATAACACTGGTATCAGTGAGACAACAAAAGAAGAAGAAAAAGAAGAAGAAAAAAGGATTAACTTGTAACTTTCCACACACACGTATACCTTACCTTATACACTCGCCTCCAGTTTTTCCTATTGTCATGTAGCATCCGTTTCCATAACATGCCCATGACTTCTGGGAAATGCTCATATGTAAATGTGTATTGGGCAACCTCCTTCATTAGTGAGCCATGAGGACCCCATGCATCATCATTTGTGGCTTCTCTCACTTTTGTCTCCACTTCGGAATAATTCATCACCACATTTGTGCTAAGAGGAAGGAAATGCATCAAACCACAAATGAATATATTATTATAAACTTTATAGGAAATGCAACTATAATGCAAAAGAATACGCAACTGTAAGACCCACCCATACTGGACTACGTGTTATTTCGTTGTGGTGCTCTAAAATAACTGTGCTATACGGCTGAACAGAGTTTCCGGGATTTGTAGCTGTCCGATTCTCAGACACCCACACTGGACTGCTGTTATTTCACAACCGTTTTGTGGTGCTCTAAAATAACTGTGCTATACGGTTGAACAGTTTCCGGGATTTGTAGCTGTCTGATTCTCAGACACCCACACTGGACTGCTGTTATTTCACAACCGTTTTGTGGTGCTCTAAAATAACTGTGCTATACGGTTGAACAGGGTTTCCGGGATTTGTTGCTGTCTGATTTTCATTCTTGATCCTACAGACTGTAAACTTGGAAAAGAAAACAAAAAAGTATACAAATGATTTGCTGGATTGGCACGCCCATCAATTTTTTTTAATAAACACTAACATAACATAACGATTTGAAAGTAAAAAATGAGAATATTATTTGCTATAAATATACAATTAGGTGGCAATACTAAAGACAGTATTCATTCATTCCTTATTCCTTACCTCAAAATCAAAAACAGACGCAATAATAAATTTATAAACTTTTTCTTAGAATTCACCAGCTGTAAACTCCAGCAGAAAGTTCTGGCTAATTCGTCCACTCTGGACTGTGGTCTTGCTCCGGAACTTGAGTTTTGCATGCAGGTTATTTCATCTTTCTTCCCGAAAAATGGGACCCAGAACAGGGATAAAATTTTTCATATCACTATTCTGATATGGAATTCCATAGAAAACCAATAACTTACAAAGGAAATAGATAAAAACATTATGTTAAAATTCTTAAAAGACATTTGAATCAGGAACAGGTGTGTGAAAGGGTTGCCTTTTTGTTCCAACATTATTATTTTTAACTGACTATAGTTTGGACACCAGAAATGGAATTCAAAGGACCCTGACAAAGCAGCTCATTAGTCTGGACTTCTCAGATAAAATCTCCCTCCAGTCCCACTCAAGAAATAACAGTTGTAAAAAGACATGTACGCAAATACCCACAAACACTACACTGAACACACACGATTTTTTTTTTTTTTAAAAAGGCCAAAACAGAAATGCTCGGCCAAAAACAAACAAAAAAGAGGCCAAAACAGAAATGCTTGGCCAAAAAAAAAAAAAAGGCTAACGCACAGGCACATGCATGATGCGAAAAGATAAAAGCACCAAAAAGAAGTTAAATTGGGGTCCCTATAAAGGGTCTTGTGTTTGGACCTGCTAGGTCGCAGACTTGTCGATTTTGAGGTGGTGTGAAAGGTGGCGGCCCAGGTACAATCAGTGATCGCCCGCTTGCAAACCAGCTAAAACCAGCAAGATAGCACATAAACCAAAAGGCACCGGTCGGAAGAAGATAATTGAACAAATAAGCATGAACCAACTACGCCAAAAGGACCAAACTAAACACAGCTCAGGAACAAGGACACAATTAAAACCAAGCCTCAGTTTGAAGCTGTCCAAAATTTTTGTTTTTTTTCCCCCATTTATTACCGTTTATTACACTCATGAAATCACATGCAAGATAAACATACCTAAGGAGAAAGACATAGATAATGAGACAAATATCTGGCAGATAATAGGAACTTTTCCATAGCTAAAAAAAAAAAAAATCTGTGTCATAAACCTATCTGGGCAGCCCCGTGGGAAAAACTGATGGATACATACAAATTTGAGTACAAAAGGTGAAATGAGCTTTCATAGCATTTAAGAAATTTGTAGAAGCCAGATGAGTACCACAGTTCAGAATATAATCCATACATCTATTTAGAGCAGAAACATGGTGGAGAATTACTAAAACAATAATAAACTACACTCTAAAATTGAAAAGTAATGAACTTAAATTATATGACAGAAATATTAATGCAATTTTTGTTTTAAGAGAAATCTAAACAATTTTCAGTTAATCAAGAAAGATGTGAGGAAAAGATTTGGGGTTGGATTTTGGATATGACTTATTTTCTTTAAAAAAATATGATAATGACGTAACAAGAGTACTCTTGCTCTGGAACCCAAATCATAGGATCACATTAAAAAACACAAAGAACCCCTACCACAAAGGAACACGTGTAGAAGAGAATTATGGACACATACAAATGACTAGAAGACAGAGTGTGCTGTGTGTGACTGTCACAGTAAAGGAAAGCATAGGCTATCTTCCGAATAACGGTTACAAATTATCGAGGCAGAATATATACCCTAACAGGGCCTCAGTCATGTGTCAATTGCACACTTCCGGCGGCTTAAATTGCGCACTTCTGGCGACCTCCGTCACGCTCACGCGGCATGGATTAGGGCTGAACTAGATGGCTGGGACCCACGAGCAGCAGCTACCGCATTTCCTGCAGCTGCCTTCATTTTATTTGCTCGTAAGTCCCAGCCATCTAGCTTAGTCCCAATCCACGCTGCTCACGCGGCATGGGGGATACTCTCAGCGGTGGTGATATAGTCCCCGGAAGTTCGCAATTCAGCGGTGGTGGTATAGTTCCCGGAAGTGCGCATTTCACACGTGACTGAGGCCCTGTTAGGGTATATTTTCTGCCTCGATAATTTGGGACCGTTATTCGGAAGATAGCCAAAGCATGACCTGATGATGTTTAAGGCATTTTTCATTGTATCCCAATCTTTTATTTTGATTTAAAAAGGCAGACGTCAAAATTTTAGGGGTTTTTTAATTGATATTGGAATTGCACACACAGTGCGCAGGGCTTTTCAACTAAGTTTTATTTGACTCAGGGCTCATCAAAATGTTGAAAATGGGGATTGTCACTGGCAAGAGCCAAAGTAGACGGGTCACTTTTTGTGGTAATGATTGGCAGGCCATTTGCTAGGTCTCCAGGGCTGGATTCATCTACGGGCCTGCTGTTAAACAGCTCTGGTAGAGAGTAACGTGATAAAATTAGTTTATAAATTGTGACTGGAAAAACATTTGGCTATCCTCCGAATAACAGGTAGTAAAGATGGTGGCCGCAAAATATCCTTTCGAGCCACAGTCACGTGTCAATCGCACACTTTCGGCACTTAATTTGCGGTTTTCCGGCAACTATCGCCACCGCGTCCCCGCGGCTAAACTAAATGGCTAGGACCCACGAGCAGCAGCTTCCGTATCTCCTGCAGCTTTGCTCATGAGTCCTAGCCATCTAGTTTACCCCAATCCACGCTGCGTGAGCGGCTTAGGGGACTCGTGGCTGTGGCAGTAGTCGCTGGAAAACCGATGGTAAACCCCAAATTAAGTCATGTGACTGTGGCTCAAGAGAGGTTATTTTGCGGCAGCCATCTTTAGTGCCCGTTATTCAGAGGATAGCCAAACATTTTAAAATTTTATTGTCTGTGACTTCATCTCAACAGTCCTTATGGTTAAGCGTGTTCAAAATGTGTAGCTTTCATTTCAAGTCGATGTGTGTAGACGTTTTAAGTATATTTAATTATATTCATTCCCTGTCATTTCTGGTGGCGCAGTTTAAAAAACCAACAAGATCATACCAACAGTCCTCCGTTAAACCTGCATTCGTGTCAAGTGTCAACTTATTTCTTTACTCTGACTGTCCAATCCGGAAGTTGACAGTTAGGCTAACAGAGAACACAGAAAACCCTTGTACTTACACTTTGTCAGTCAACTCCTTTAACTTCCACATGCCCGTACTCAACATGGTGATATCGTATGAGATCTAGACCATAAACAAGACAAATCTGAACAAACAAGAAGTACGACGTATAACTGATGGCGACCGTTCCAGTTCCTATCGGCCTGACTACGCCATCAACCGGAAGTAATCCCAAATGGCCTACCCATACGGTGATCAGGGCGATAAATTTCCAGCAACGAAAATACAGTGGAAAAATACTGTGGACTGCAACAAGCCTTTGACAATAGAAACATGCTGGAAGTAAATGGCTCTATAGGACTACAAGGAAAGAATAACCAATACATAACAAGAACAGGGGTTAGCGTGTGATGTGTTCAGGGCCGCCGTGAGGAGTATTATTAAGTACTGTAACAAGACTAAAATGACCCTCTCACCTGCACATGGACAAATAACTAAATAATGGCATAATTGTACATTTAATAATTACATTTAAACATACTTGCAAATATATCAAAAAGAGAACCTGTACTTCTGTAAAAGATAATTTTTAAAAAAAATTATCCTACACAGTCGCCCTTTAAACTCCATGGGCATCGGAACAATGTAAAGTCTGGATATGTTAATTTATCTTCTTAAGATAGAATAATGGAATCCCAGATCACTTTATACATCCGCAAAGACGGACTACACAATATTATTACTAGAATAGTTTAAAAGCAAACATACAATATATTAAACTTAGCAATCTATACTTACAACATCTAACTTGTTTTACATCAATTCAGAATCAAGTGGTGCAAAACCAGCCAATCGTTCTACCGTTCGTTTCCCAACACACCGGCATTACCTGGGCAAAATATCCCAAGGATGCTAACTACCCAGGACCTCTGAAATGATGCTTACCACTCTGCATGGAGCCTGCAGTTCATTAAGTAAAAATTGTCACCTTCAAAACCTAATTAAATACCGTAAGAACATGAATTAAAACCTTATAACCAGCTAGATATGCTCATGTGCTCCTTTTTGAGATATAGACTAAGGTTAGTTCCGTATCCTTTACATGACGTTGCAGAACCAACCCCAGCAGCCCCTGGCTGTTGTGTAGGCAATTTACGTCCAGTAGTTTGCCATTGCCTACTGGACGGTCGGCCCCCTGATACCACTGTCGAAACCAACGCAAGGCGCATGGCCTGCAGCTGGGATCGAACTCGGCACCCCGGCATTACGAAGCGTTCGCATCGACTTAGCCACAGAGGCGACTTTGAGATATAAGCAAGAAAAAAAAGGAATCTCCACGTTTTAGCATAAAACGTAACAGACAAAAACTTTGAAAGAAAAATTATGTGTATGTTTTTTTTTTTTTAATGGTGGGAAGTGGGGACAAGGGGTTGAGGTCGACAGGTTCCATCGGCCTAATTATAACTTGTTGGTGGGGGGTGGGGGTTTGAACTTACAGTCAAGATGCGACCAATAGTGCCAATACGTTCAAAGTAAAATGACACTGTCCATAAATGTAATGTGCTAACTGGAATATTCTGGCCATTCGTCAGTTTCGCTGAGAAAAACACACCCTCTGTGTGCAGGTACAAGAATATGTTTCTGGTCTTCCGGGATTGCCTAAAATTCTACCGATTGGCCGTTCAAGTATACATTTGGATTCTTCAGACCATAACGACATTGTCACTGACTGTTGTTAGCTCATCCGCGGCACTGGCTGGTCCGCTGAATCTTGCTGATGCAAGACTGTCACTATGCTTTGTAAATATGTTGTTCTTTTTTTTTTTTTTTTAGAAATCACCCACTTCCTCTGAGGTTGTCCATAATAAACTGTTGGGTAATATTTGCGTTGTGCCTGTTTACAATAGAGATATGATAGTTGTTCTTTTCAGCCAACACGCTTTATCTTTTATTTTGTATCTGTTGACCGGATCAGCTTCGTAATACACTCCAAACTAGAGGAGGGCGTTTTCCATGTTCGTTCAAAAAACATTGTAAAATGGATTCTATTTACGTCAGTGTTGTAATGGATGCATCTTTTTCAACTACTTCGATCCATCTGGCAGAAAACTTATATCAGTAGGCCGGTAACCTTTATGAAAGCTTTCGTGCAGCCCATATTTCTCAGTATACCATACAGCTTTGTCTTCATCATATCAGAACAGTACAATTTGCGTCTCTGTTAGTGCCAGTACTGTTGCACTTCAATTCCCAGGATCACAATGGTGTCCACGACATAGAGATGACACCCATTAAATCTAGTCACTCCAGCGACAGAGTCCCCAAATTTCTTGAAAATCGCTTTATTTACACTTTGGTAACTTTTGACACCTAAAGGACTGAATTGTCAAAACAGTTGCATCTTCTTCTTCTTCTTTTTCGCGTTCACAAGTTGTAAACTCCGGTGGAGAGTTCTGATTGTTCGTCCACTTCTAGACTGCAGTCTTGTTCCAAAACCTGAGTGTTGCGTGTGCTTCCGTTGGACAGATCTGACTAATTTGCATGCAGGCTGTTGGTTCCTCGCCTCTCAGGTAGATGCACTCCGAAGGAAGCTCCCAATTAGTCGACTCTTATCACATGCTTCTGGGTAGGCAGTGGGTCTACTCTTGGTTTCCCTATAATAGGGCCCCAGAACCCAGATCTAAAATTCTTGAGTTACCACCCTTGACATTATATGGGTATTTATTCCCTGGTTCAGTGTGTTCTTTTCATGTTTGTAGTACTTCCCGTCCTTTTTAGGATGACATTTTTCGTTCTTTGAAGCCCTACTCTGGCTCTTGCCAGGGACCGCAATATAGCCTTGCCATAAATATGGCCTAAAGCGGTTTCTGGGACCTCTCCACGGTGATCCTCACCCACATTTGTGGCACATTGTGTCATCGGGTGTTTATCGTTTGTGTGATGGCCTGGTGGGGTAGAAAGTCAGTCAGTGATCTTTTCATGGCCTGCTCTACTCTACTGGAGGTGGTCGTGGTTCTTTTCTTTGCACTGGCAGGACATCCTCGTGGCTGCTCCTGGATACGGGAGTTAATCAGTGATTTTGTATATTCATGGGGATTTGTTTGATTTCTGTATGGACTGAAACGTTCTTAACGTTCACTTTTTCTCGTTCGATTGTAAGTCTTTCCTGCGTATCTGTTAGCAGCATACAGTTGGACATCGTTGGAGCACACGCTCTGCGTTTTCTGGTGCTAAGATACAGGGACATGTTTGTGTGTTTTCGACACCGAAATGTTTGAACATATCTTGGCGAAGTCTGTTGTGCCCTACCTTCAGTCTGAATATAACAGCACATTGTCTTTTTATAGAGAGGCGATGAAGCGCGTCTTGAGGTGACAATCTGGTGTGTCATGCCAAAGGACACGACTCGGTATCCCTGTCTAGACTGATGGGCGTGTGGGTGCAGCCTGGAGCTGCAAGAAATGAACATTTCACTAATGGGAATTTCATTAACCAACATAGAACTGGCGTCATCGGTCGTTGTACATTTGTGGAGCTTTCGAGGAGGAGATCGGAGCACCTATGGATATGCTCGGAGTGCTGTGATGATAATCTTTCTAATCACTAATCTGATGTGTATATCAGATGTGTATCACCTTTATTGGATATATGATGCTAGACTCATATTGTTATAGATCAGTCTGCATTCTATGGGTGAGGTTGTTAACATCTCGCCAACGGTCTTTACTTTGCAGAATATTACCTGGTACCCATCTAAGGTTAGGCTGAACTGAGAGCCAAGGTCGGGTTGGAAACATTCGCTTCATGGGTATTTGAACGCGACCTTCTAGCCTATACGTGAGCGTCCAGCAACTATGCCACCATCGCTCTCGTCCTTAAATACACAGGACACACAAAAGGCAGCTTAATTATCCGGCAAAGCACTAACCTATTTTTTAAATGACGATTCTCGTTTTTTTTCTTCTTCAGGTTGGAATGAATATTGCGAAACAAATAAAAGTGAAGTGTAGAGTCTATTTCTCATTGTAGGGTGTAGTGAAGTTTGCGTTGCAGATGGCGACAGCTGTTCCTATCATTAGGCACTACAGCAAATGGTATTCAACTAGTTTTTCATGCTGGAAGCTGTTTTTTAGTTTGGTCACGATGTCAGTTATTCTGTTTTAAATAATTGGCTTCGTGTGGGCTCAAGGCCCCATTGTGAAAAGGGAGAGAAAAAAAAAAAAAAGGGGGGGGCTATATTTATTCTAAAGGTGTGTGCACTAAAAGTTAGTTGCATATCCTTTACAGAGTGTGGCAGAAATAACCCCAGCATTTTTGGTTGTTTTTATAGGCACATTTTTACGTTCAGTAGTTTACCATACTGAACGGTCAGCTCTCTCGGTACCACCGTTGAAACCAGCGCAAGATAAACTGTCCGCAGCTGGGATCAAACCAGGTACCCCGGCATGACGAAGTACATTCGCAACGTCTAAGCCACAGACGTGTTCTTACTTTACTTTTTACTTTTTCCTTCCACGTATGCCGCTAAGCGTTGTGGGGAGATGCAAGTTCCTGTCATAAGCAAGGCGGGCAGCATCTGATGTTCTGAGGCCATGCTTTTGGCAGGTTTCGGAGACCCCGTCAATCCACAGTTTCCTTGGTCTTCCTCTTGCCTTATATCCTGAGCTTCTTTGGTTGAAAATTTGTGATGTTATTTGATAATTTTTCATCCTGGTTAGATGTCCAAACCATTTCATTCTTTGATGTTCTATGTAGTCTAAACATGGTGTAGTTTTGACAGTGTTTCTAATGTCTATATTCTTTATCCTGTCTAGTCTGGTCTTATTCGCTGCTTTTCTTAGACATTTCATTTCACAGGCTTCTATTTTTCTTTCATGGGTCTTGTTGATTGTCCATGTCTGGCACTGGTAGCAGAGTGTTGGAATGAAGATGGTGTTTATCAATTGTCTTTTGGTCTTCATGGTTATATCTGGATGTTTAAGCAGAGGTGATAGTTGGTATGTGACAGCATTTGCTTTCTGTATTCTTGTTTCTATCTCTCTGTCCATTCTTCCATCCTCTGTAAATATACTGCCCAAGTATTTGAACTCTTTGGTTTGCTTGATTTTGGCACTTCCAACATTTATATTCAGTGGCCTGTGTGTTCTGCTGATCTTCATAACTTCTGTTTTTTCTGTACTGATTCTCATATTATGTTGTAAACAGCTGTTGTTGAGAGTAGTCAGATGTTCCTGTAGATCATATTCATTTTGATACAGTATGCTTTGATCATCAGCAAAAAGTAATTCGTTTATAGCATACACGTCTGGGTTTGCTTCTACAGTGATCTTATCCATGTATGTTATGAAAAGTAATGGTGACAGTACACATCCTTGTCTGACACCAGTTGTGACTTTGAACCATTCAGAAAGACCACTAGATGTTCTTACTGCACTTTCACTTTTTTCATAGAGGGCTCTGATGTTGTCTAATAATTGACCCTGCACTCCGTAATCGTCAAGAATTCTCCACAGCACATCTCTGTCTACACGGTCGAATGCCTTCTCTTGATCTACAAAGACCACGTTCAGCTCTTTATCGTATTCGAGTGTCTTTTCACAGACTTGTCTTAGTGCAAATATGGCATCAGTGCAACCTCGCCCTTTCCTGAAACCGAATTGTGCTTTACTCAGTAGAGGTTCAACCTTTGCTCTTATCCTACCTTCTAAGATCTTTGCATACATTTTCCCCACATGACTTAGTAAAGATATTCCTCTGTAAGTTCCACATTCTCTCTTGTTTCCTTTTTTCTTCCAGATAGGTACTACAACTGATCTTTGCCAATCCACTGGTACCTTTCTCTCTGCCCATGCTCTATTGAAAATTCTCTCCAGCCAGGTGATCATAGTGTCCCCTCCAGCCTGGATGACTTCTGTTGTTATTCCGTCGATACCAGCTGCTTTGTGTCTTTTACTTGTTTTGATAACTTTCTCTACTTCATCCCGCAGGATATGTGGTTCTAGATGATCTGGAGCCCTTGAATGGAATTCTGCTGTTTCATGTACTCCCGACGGGTTCAAAAGTTCTTTAAAATATTCCTCCCATCTTTTTTTAATTTCTTTTTGGCTGAATAATGGTTTTCCATTTTTATCGTTTATGACTGATGTTGGAATGAAGCTTTCTTCTCTTAATCGCATCGCTTTCACACTCTTATAAAAGTCTCTTGGTGATTCTGTACATAGCTGTGTTAGGTGTTCACTATACTTTTTCCATGATTCCTCTTTGGATTTCTTTATTGTGAACACAGACGTGTTCACTGAAGTTAAAAAGATGAGGACACTGCGTGAGCTGCATGCTATAGCAAAGGATAGAACGACATGGCGTGAGTTGGTTGAGGGTGTATGCTCCATTGGGAAATATAAGGCAGAAGAAGAAAGGTGAGCGCAGCTCTGTGGCTTCGGTGTTGGGGAACTGGTTTCACAGTGCACTGATATTTACCAGGGTTCAATTCAAACGTGGATATTGAAAAAAAAAATGTTCGTGGCTTTCCGACAGTAGTATGAGAGCAACACAGTGGAAGAGCCTTGCCGTGTAATATCCTCGCAGCCAGCAGTGGATACATTACAGCGGACCTCCACTGTGAAAACGGCACTTTTGTTAAAGGTTTGGCTCCCGCTTGACCTCCACTGTGAAAACGGCACTTTTGTTAAAGGTTTGGCTCCCGCTTGATGTTTGGAAATCGATTGTCTAGTTTGTAGCGTAGCATACTTCTTATAGCCCACACCAAACAGACCTTCATTACAGCTTTTTGTCTTGAATAATGGCAAAGTATACAGGATACTGGTTTCTCAACCCTACATAAAAACAGCTTTTTGTCTTGAATAGTGGCAAAGTATACACGATACTGGTCTCTCAGCCCTTTATAGCAACGGTTTTTTGTCTTGAATAGTGGCAAAGCAAATAGGATACTGTTCTCTAAGCCCCATTTAAAAACAGCTTTTTGTCTTGAATAGTGGCAAAGTATACATGTTACTGATCTCTCAGCCCTTTATAGCAACAGCTTTTTGTCTTGAATAGTGGCAAAGTATACAGGATACTGGTCTCTCAACCCTTTATAGCAACAGCTTTTTGTCTTGAATAGTGGCAAAGTATACATGATACTGGTCTCTCAGCCCTTTATAGCAACGGTTTTTTGTCTTGAATAGTGGCAAAGTATACATGATACTGATCTCTCAGCCCTTTATAGCAACGGCATTTTGTCTTGAATAGTGGCAAAATAGATAGGATACTAGTCTGCCAGTCATTAAAACAACAGCTTTTTCTCTTGAATAGTGGCAAAATAGATAGGATACTAGTCTGCCAGTCATTAAAACAACAGTTTATGTCTATCAGGGATAAAGTCAACAATGTGTGGCAACATCTTTAACTGACTGTGACTCTCACACACACACACACACAAAACAGACACTCAAAACGGTAAATAAATACCTCAATGATAAGTTTTGTTTTATTTTTATTACTTAGATTTGTTAATGGTCGCATAAAAAAAACTTTACAGGAGACAAATTCATATTACTTTGACTAGGGAAAAACCCGATCGCTCATAAACAGCCAGCAGACAATAGCAAATTATGGGATTACAACTGTACTTTCCATGTAGCATGACAAGACATTCTACAATATATCTGTGTCAACAAGTCTTAAATACTAGCACCTAATGATGAGCTAGCAAGTAACAGCTAAATACTTTACAAGTACGTATCCTTAACATGAAACTGTCCACCATGATGGTTTTATATGTGGGTTCAGGGCCCTATTTCGGACCTGTTGTCCCACAATAAGCATGTTTTCTTTCTCTTCTTTGTGTACACCGGCTGTAAACTCTGGCGGAAAGTTCTGGTTGTTTGTCCACTTCTGGACTCTAGTCATGTTCCAGAAACTGAGTGTTGGGTGCATATCTGTTTTACAGGTCTGGGTCATCTGCATGCAGACTGTTGGTTCCTTGCCTCTTTGTTGGGCTGAAAGGTTCAGATATATAGCCTAGCTGTAAACGACAACACAGAATGCCAAACATTTTGTAAAGGGTGAACACAAAAGGAAAATACACAACGGTAAATATTAGTTATTGGCTCATGCAATCATCATTTTTTCTCTTTATGTCTAGTGGCACATTAGGTTGTTGCGTATCCTTTACAGGACGTTGCAGAACCAACCCTAACAGCCCCTGGCTGTTGTATGGTTTCTCTAGGCAAATTTACGTCCAGTAGTTTGCCATTGCTTTCTGGACGGTCGGCTTTCTTGATACCACTGTCGAAACCAACGCAAGGCTAGTGGCACATGGGGTGTCAAAAAGGACTTTCCATGCTTTCCTATCCTGTGAAATCTTCAGTGCAGTTTTCCATGTCAGAGATGCCGCACTCAGATCACTCTCCATCATTCATCTCCATGTTGTTTTTGGGCGCCCCTTTTTTCTTTCCCTCTGATATCCATGTGAGAGCTGTTTTGGCAGATATATCAGGATTCATTCTCATAATGTGGCCAAGTCATTTCCATCTTCTCTTGGTTATCATACTGTCTAGAGTTTCTTACTTTGTGACTTGAAGTAGTTAAGTGTTTGAGATTGTATCTGGCCAGAACATTTTGATAATTCTATGTAGACATGTGTGGTGGAAGGTGGATAGCTTGTGTGCATCCTTTTTGGTCATTCTCCAGGTTTCTCCTCCATAAAGAAGAACTGGCAAAATAATGCTCTTGTAGAGTAAAAGTTTAGTTTTTCTGCAGTAAATGTATTGGCTCATGTAAGCAAAGATTAATTCTCTGCAGCTCTCAGTGCTCATCAGTGGACAGCGTGCTTGTTGAGTTGAACCAATACTGTTTCTATGAGCTCATTCCTAAAAATGGAAAATTAAGTTTTCTTGATATTCAGATCTTTTTTTTTTTAAACATAGATTTACAAGCCCTGATTTTCTTCTTCAGTGATTGTTATATGGTATGCCATATGTTTTCACATGAATGATGCAGGTTCTCCAAATGTTTAATTTAGTTTGTTTCCTTTTAATATGCCTTAGGCCCTTAATGCTGTTTACCCTCTTCAATACATATTCTGATTTCTTTTAAAAACTCTCTACTTTTCTTATATTGCTGCCTATGTATTGGAAGTGCGACATTTTCCACTTAACATTTTACTTCAACTATGAAACATTCTAATCATATCATGTGCACACCTGCATCAAGCTCATTTCAAGCACACATACTGCAAGAATGAAAGGAAATTCTCTAAAATGGTGATGATAAATAAATTTAAAAAAAAAAAATATGCAAAAGAAATTAACAGACTTCAATGTTTCAATAACTAACAGCCAAACTCTAAGAAACTGATACATTTTATCAATGTAATTGCCTCGAATAAATACAACTTTTCAGTTATGTGCTATTACAAAAAATGGGCAATTTTTTTCAGTCCCAGGGGATTTAGCATCAGAGGTCCAAGGGGCAGTAAAGAGAGATGTAAAATCGGCATTTTGCATTCACTGGGTTTCTACATAGGAACCAATGAATGCAGGATGTGTTTCTTAGAACTGAAAAGTATGATGTAAGCTATCACATGATGATATGAAAGGGATGATGTAAGTTATCACGTGACAACTGTCACTTCTGCTTCAGTCTCCATGCCCAGCAAGTACTTGAAGAAATGCAGCATCATCAGTGAGTGCCCAGGCAAGTAAACATAAGATGTGTAGAAAACTAAGGAAAGTAGGAACAAGAGCAAAACATCTTTAGCAAGTTAAGGAAACAAATAGTATTTTTAACAACAAAATGAGTTAAAACTTTAAGACATCAGAATTGTGGCCAGTAACCATGGTTAGTAACTTTTATAAACACTTTTATTTTGTGTTCTCACAGTTATATTTCATTTAATGTTTCTTGATAAACATGTTTTATCAACACAGCTGTGAAAACAAACTATGCAGATAACTATCCTACAACTTGGCATCTTTTGAGAAACAGCAGTAACAGAGAGGCTGGATGCTGGCCTGTTAGCCCAAATGTCTTGAGTTTGACTCACTTCCTCACCTCTCAAGAGAGGGGCAAATAACGATATTCAGTCTAAGGACAGGCTTTGCCTATATATATTCAAGTAAAAAAAACACAGACATGTTAGGTACCCTTGCAACTCTGGCACCCACAAATGTTGAGAATGTGCTTCAGCACTGTCGATTGTATGCTGCTAACAGAGAGGCAATCTGAATTGTTTTAACCTTGATCAAACCAAAGCTGTATGCCACACAGGGAGATTGAGACTCCATAAGAGCTGCTGGTCTCATGATGCAGAGTTGTCTGACGGATTGAAGAATCCTTACTGAGACTGATTCTTTTCAAAATTGACCTCAGCTGGCAGGTTACCCCGGCCTGCAATGGGTACTACGTAATGAATGTCCTGACTGGCAAAATATTGCCCACATCAACCACTGAGTGCTAACTTTAAAATTAGTTTACCATCATTATATGACAGATGCAATGATAGTGTAAAAAGGATCCTTCCACTTTATAATGTTATATATGAACATACAAAAAACAAAACAAACACTACACAAAACATGAGGAAACCAGATGTTCTTTAAGTGTTTATGTACAGACACGAATTACATTTATCTGTCACATCATTGATTCTTTTTCTTCTTCAAATGTGGAATTTTTTTTTTAACCTAGCGTTTAACCTTTTCTCTTAGATTTGCATTGTATTTTAAACTGTTTCTCCTGTTCATGATCTCTTTTCATTAACCTGATCACAAATTTTTGTATTTGTAAGTGATCCTTCTTAAAATGCTTTACCCAAATAGGTTATTGAAAATCACCTTTGATTAACTCTTTCAGTCCCAATGAAAGCATCATACGTTCATAAGTTCCTACCTAGAAGCCCAATGAACACAGGATGAGCTGATTTAACTTCCCTCTTTAATACCACTTGGGCCCCTGATGATAAACTCCCTGGGACTGAAAGAGTTAACTATCTTGCTTCCAATACTAAAACTCTAGTACAATCTATCTGTAGCCGTGCATTGGAAACACACAAACTCTAGTTATTACTAAACTTAAGTAAGGATACTGCAAGCCCATCTTTCAGCTGGTTCCAAAAAGTACACATTTGAAAGAATAGTGTATGAAAAATACCAATAGTTAAACCGATCAATAGCCTTTCCCAGAACCATGGTGGGTATCTGTTCTATATGCTGTAAGTAAAAAAGACAAAGCAATAGATTATTAAAAGGTTATTCATTTATAATATATTTTGTTACCTCCGCACATGGCCATCACATTTCACCAATATCTATTCATCATAATCAGCATCCCTCAACAATGCGTGTCATTGGGTCACCAGCTGCTGCTGACTGTCTGATCAGCCCTTCCATCTCCGATGGTCAGATGCGATGTACTTCATGGTTGCATACCTAAGGCTTGTTCAGTCAGTTAAGTTCTTTATACAGGTTTTTCTTGGCCTGTCTCTCCTCCTCTGTGACTCCTATAGTATTGTTTTTGAGAAGCCGTTAGATCTTATTACATGGCTGTACCATTGCATTTTCAGCCATCTCACTGTAATTAAAAGAGGTTCATAGTTGCCAATGTGCTGGATAATTATATAACAAACCTCGTCATTTGTGATCTGGTCTGTGTATGATATAGTATCTAATAAAATACTGAAATTCATTTGATCGAACTCATTCTTGATATCTTTTTGAATAAGTAAGTGTTTGTACATTCCATGTTTCAATGAGAAGCATGTTGTTTCCACAGACAGGTATTACTTGCAGCACATGTCTTGATGAGGTGATTCCATTAGAACCCTCAATTTATACCATTAAAAAAAAGATTATGAGAAGCACGCTTTACAAGGCATAAACATAAATATTTTTTTTTTAATTTAGAATAATTAGATGTCTATTAAAATGCAGACTCACTATTCAATATTAATAACTGGGGGGAAAAGGTGCCAGTAGTTATCTTTGATAATTACATTATAATATAATACGTTAACAGACTGACTGACTGACTTTCTACCCTACCAGGACATCACACAAGCAATAAACCTCGATGACACAAAGTGCCACCATGTGGATGAGGATCACTGTGGAAAGGTCCCAGAAACCACGTTCAGCCATATTTATAGCCGGGCTATATTGCGGCCCCTGGCATGAGCCAGAGTAGGGCTTCAAATAAAAAAAAATTTCATTCTATAAAGGATGGGAAGATTAGTATACATAAATATGTTTTTGTTTTTTTAATATCCAGAAACCATGAGTTGTTAACACTTTGGCTCGGTACTATGGATATCGCAACCCTTCAGCCCTGACTCCATGATAGGTACCATAAATCTGGGAGAAAATGTGGCTTTTCTGTGAACCGCGACCACAAGGAGTTGGTCACCCGGTCACAGCGCAGTCCGGTTTAGCCAACTATGCTAGAGAGCCGGGCATATAAATATGTTAACAGTATATACTGATCCAGCAGAAGGAACAGAATCTGATGAGACCATGAATTTGAAAATCTAAATAACACAGTAAAAACGAATAAGAAGAAATATAAAGGCAAACATTTCAAATAATTATTGGCTCTCCTCCGAACTTCTACCCCCGCTGTATTGCAGCCTGAAATATCCGTTCGGAGCGCAGTCCAATTAAAAATATGCCGGCTCCGTATAACGAAACAAATGCTCTAACAGGGTCTCAGCGATATGTTACTTGGGGACCTGTTTCTTATTGTTTCTGATTACCTGACAATTCTAAAAGATGCAACACTGCAGACAATAGTAGCAGACGACGATAATAGCGACCGTTGACACTTTCCATTGTCGAAATTTCTGCCGACGAACAAATCGCGGCAAATCTAGGATTGGCTCGGAAAAACAAAACAAATGCTTTAACAGGCTTTCAGCAATTTGTTACTTGCGGCCCTGTTTCTGTAACTATGCCTCACCACCGACCGTATCCCCCGCGCCGTTACGCACGGCGCGGATAGGGGCGAAACTAGATGGCTGGGACTCATGAGCGGCAGCTACCGCATCTCCTGCAACTTCCTCCAATGACTTTGCTCGCGAGTCTCAGGCACCTAGTTTAGCCCCCCATCCGCACCGCGCGTAGCGGCGCGGGGATACTAATGGCGGTGAGTTTAATCGCGTTTTGAGCATGCCGACAAGTCTGACATCTACCCCTGCTAAATCCTCAATCGGAAGAACAGTATTTCTAATCTGCGTGGGAGCGCGTGGTCTACCTGCCATATCGCTTTCGTCTGTAATGTCTCGAAATTGTCAAAGGTCGCTTTTATCGTCTGCTAGTATCGTCTGCAGAAAACGCTCAACATTGTCACCGGTCGCTTTTATCGTCTCCTACTATCGTCTGCAATGTTGCGTCTCGTGACATTGTAAAGTACTCCTAGTTTTGCCGCAATTTATTCCTCGGCGGGAACTCCGACAAGTCCCTATTTTTAATTGGACTGCGCCCCGAACAGATATTTCAGGCCACAATATTGCGGGGGTAGAAGTTCGGAGGAGAGCCTAATTATTTTTTATTACAGTAATTCAGGTAAAACTGCTATCTGCCTGTATTTACCACTTTTGCAGTGTAGGTAGTGGGGATGGGGGGGGGGGGATGGTTGAGTCTGAGGATTTATTTAGGGGCCGCATGGCTAGTGCTGATAGGAACTGTGCAGGTAAGAATTATATTTTTGCCTCGAAAAGAAGTAAGTCCTCAACCTTACCAAGGATTCAAACTAGTGTCTTCCACACAAGAGCCCAGTGTTCCAACCGTTCTGGAGCCACTTCTCAGTATGTGCTTAATTTTTTATTTTTATTGTGTGAGTGGTGTAAACTAAGATAATTCATCCCTGAAAGTTTCGTCCTTTTGTCACTGGAACTCTTTAAAAAAAAACTCCGTCTCCAAAGGGTTAGTGACAATTTCGGATTTGACTGACTGACTGACTTTCTACCCCACTAGAACATCACACAAGCGATAAACACCCGATGACACAAAGTGCCACCATGCGGATGGGGATCGCCGTGGAGAGGTCCCAGAAACCGAGTTCAGACAATTGGCTATATTTATGACCTGCCTATATTGCAGCCCCTGGGAAAAGTCAGGGTGTGGCTTCAAATAACCAAAAATGTAGTCCTAAAAAGGACGGAATTGGATTTATGACATAACATGCCTATTTGAATGAATGAATGAATGACTTTCTACCCCACCAGGACATCACACAAGCGATAAACACCCGATGACACAAAGTGCCACCATGCGGATGAGGGTCGCCGTGGAGAGGTCCCAGAAACCGCGTTCAGACATTTGGCCATATTTATGGCCTGCCTATATTGCGGCCCCTGGCAAAAGCCAGAGTGGGGCTTCAAATAACGAAAAATTACGTCCTAAAAAGGACGTATGAGATTATTGCCTATTTGACGAGTTTCTTGGCGAATAAACAATAACGTACATTAGTCGTTAGTAAATCTTTAATTTGTATATATCAGGGTAATAAAAAGTATACCCCGCTTGTGTCACCATTAGCTTATTAAAAAGTACGATTCCTTATAGACTCACCTAAAACGCTACGTTGATAATCAAATCAGGAAAGTAAAATTGCGCGCTGGGTTGGGCTCCACAAAACCTGACGATTAGAACTTAACAACACTAAAAATTATGTCCCTTAACTGCCTTAACCATTTCCCTATGTTTTCTGAATACCGGAAATCACGCGTTGTTGAGAAGACGATGGTTCCCAAAATTATGGTCGGCAGACTCAACTCTTTGTGCAACAATTAAAAAAAATTTGTAACATCAAAATGGTGCGAAACACAACTTTAAATGAGGGTTACAGTACCACAATTGAGTACACCACCAGATGTGCGGCATACCACCGAAAATCTTGTAGTACATCCGGGGCGTTTTTAGGAGGAGGGATGTCATCATCATCAGGTGCTTTGCCGACTGGCGTGGACGATCATGCCTCTCCATAATCTGCGATCTCCTGCAGCATATATCAGTTTGTGTGCCGACACACCTTCATGCCATGCAACAAGACTGTCAAGCATCTTCTCTCGTTGTATTCCTCTACCCCTTTTTCCACAGATCTTTCCAGTGGTCACAACATGTTCTATTTTCCCTCTTCTCATAACATGGCCGAAAAATGATGACTGATACTTAAATGTCTGTACTTGTCCTAAAATAACATCATTGACTCTTATTACACATTTAGGAATAATTTGTTTCTTTGATACCACCACTACTTCTGTCTTCCCATTATTCAAACTGAGGTCTATTCTTCCACTTTCTAACACCACAATGTCTATCATTTCCTGTAATTCTTTCTGACTTGTTGTTATCAAGACTGTGTCATCAGCATAACGTAAATTGTTTATATTGTGCCCACCAACCACAATTCCGGGCATATCAATTAAAGATCTCATTATATATTCACTGTATATTGAAAACAAATCAGGTGAAAGTCCTTGTCGTACGCCCCTCTTTATGCTTTGAAATGTACCTAAACAGTTGTTTATTCTTATAGCTGCTGTTTGCTGCCAATATATATTCTTTATTATTCGTAGATCTTTCCCATCAATGTTTAATTTTTCTAACAGTTTGATTACTTCTTCATGCTTCACACAGTCAAATGCTTTTGTATAGTCTATGAAGCATAAGTACAATTCAGTCTTTACTTCTATAGCTCTTTCTGACAATGTCCTTAGGATGTAAATGGCATTGTTTGTACCTTTTCCTTCTACAAATCCACATTGTTCATCGCTGATTTCTGGTTTAATTTTGTTTCTTATTCTTCTCATAATTATTCTCAGTAAAATCTTAGTCATGTGACTCATAAGACTTATTGTGCGATGGTCTTCACATTTTAAAGTGCCTGGTTTCTTTGGCAGAGTTATAAATATGGATTTTAAAAGGTCATTTCGAATGTACCCACTATTATAAATATCATTTAAAAGTTTAGTTATTATTTCAATTCCAAAATCTCCCAGTGCTTCGATTTCTTCCAGTGAGATGTTGTCTGGCCCGGGTGCTTTTCCTTTCTTCATATGATGTATTGCATCCTCAACCTCTGCAGTCATTATTGGTGGACCATCATTGTTGGTCTGCAGTTCTACGTCTGGTCTATTATCATCATACAATTCCCCTATATACTCTGTCTATCTGTTAATTATATTACTATGTCC